ACAGTTATCAGTCATATCACTAACGTTAACTGGCTAGAATGTCTTTGGAATTCCTTGGATTTTGCGAAACAGGAAATGCAACCAACTTCCAAGACTGAACTTTGGAGATGTGAAAAAACATCCCTATCGTTTTCAAGCAATAAACAGCTTTTGACATTTTATTTTTATTTATTTATTCATTTTCTGAAATGCTAATGTAATCGAAGCACTGATTACTGCCTGTTAGTTCCTGCATCTGGAGCGTTGTGTATGACTTCCAGCAGGGTAGCCTACCTCTAAACCCTTTCCCTCTGGCATTATGGCAGTGACAGGGACATAAATCACTGACTGTAGCTTTAAGCATGGGTGCATTAGGGATAATAAAGCAGCTGTTAGCGTAGCACAGCCCCAAGTCTGTACTCATTAGCTCTGTAAACTCCTGTCAACTCGGCCTACGTCTCTCGCCTGGCTTCTCCGCCCTCTAATGATCTCTCTGTCACGTCTCTTTCCACTTCTTTAAAGTGATGAGAGTCACAAGCTACGTTCAAAGTCAAAAGGCATATTAGGTGCTTCGTTTTGAATTTCACACAAATGCTTGACCTTTCACCTTAACCGACTCTGACCTTTGGTGTGCAGTGATGCACTTGCCTGTGAGTGACACGTGAGCTCAGACACGTGAAGGATCTCACTGAGCACGCTCGGGACGATGTGCAGGAGTACAGTGATGAGTGAGATAATGGGTTATTAGGTGCGCGATACCTGTGATCTCCTACAGGAACTTGGCCTGGATTCTGTGACCCTTTGACCCAAGAGTGTGGGGATTGCGCTTCAGGACCCCGAGGGTCGGCGAGGATCGGCCTCCGGAACACATTTGTGGAGGACAAGGGTGGGCAGGGAGGAAAACTGATGGGGAAAGTATTCCATTATGTTTCAATGTTAACCATGATTACTGTCATTAAAGTCATTATCATACCACCTTAATGTCAGAACATTAATGTCAGTTTGAAAGTTTTTTCAGATTTCAGATCTGCTTGTGTCACATGCCTTCCAGAGAATAACAGCTACAGAATAATAGAAGGGAAAATTCAAGTAGCCAATCAGATCGCAGGATGGGGAAGTTCAACAAGTCAATCAGATTGCAGCAGGACAAATAAAGTAGCCACCTAAATTGCATTAGGACAAATTGAACCAGCCAATCAGATCACAGGACAGCAAACTGAGCACAGGAGGGATGTTAAAACTAGCCAATCAAATCACAGGCAGTAAAGTTCAACTGATGATCAGACCACAAGAAGGAAACTGTACTATCCAATCAGAGTGCAAAAGGGAATGTTCAAATAGCCAATCAGATTGCAGGAGCAAAAATTCAAGTAGCCTACTAGCTTGCAGGAGGGAAAATGTAACTAGCCAATCAGATCACAGCACGGAAAACTCAGCACAGGAGTGATAGTTTAACTAGTAAATCAAATCCCAGGAAGCAAAATTCAACAAGCCAATCAGATCACAGGAAGAAAGTTGTACTAGCAAATAAGATCGCAGGAGGTAAATTGTAGCAAATAATTTGGCCGACTTGATAACTCCATCCTTTCTAGAAAATGTACGGCTCCAACACCTTCAGCCAACCTAACGATCACGTCTTCTTTGGGCTAAACGAACAACACTTCAACTACCCCAACAAACCTTTCGAGTACCCCTGCAACCCACTTTGTGTTGTCAGTACCATCCTGAACACCTCTCCTTTGGGAATTTTAACAGTCCTGAAAACTCTTCCTTTGGGAATGGTTACTGTCCTGAACCCCCCTCCTTTGGGAATGGTAACTGTCCTGAACCCCCCTCCTTTGAGAATGGTAACTGTCCTGAACACCCCTCCTTTGGGAATTTTAACTGTCCTGAAACCCCTCCTTTGGAAATGGTAACTAGCCTGAACACCCCTCCTTTGGGAATTTTAACTGTCCTGAAACTCCTTCTTTTGGGAATTGTAACTGTCCTGAACACCCCTCCTTTGGGAATGATAACTGTCCTGAACCCCCCTCCTTTGGGAATTGTAACTGTCCTGAACCCCCCTCCTTTGGGAATGGTAACAGTCCTGAACACCCCTCCTTTGGGAATGGTAATTGTCCTGAACCCCCCTCCTTTTGGGAATTGTAACTGTCCTGAACACCCATCCTTTGGGAATGATAACTGTCCTGAACACCCCTCCTTTGGGAATTTTAACTGTCCTGAACACCCCTCCTTTGGGAATGGTGCTGCCCTAACGACCGTTGCCGCGTCCCATAGTTACCGCTTGGACGCAGAGATTGCAGAAAGACTGAAAGTTCCTAACCGGCTCAGCTAACTACTTTACTCACAGCTGAACAGAGGTATGATTTCAGTCAACATGAAAAAAAGGTTTTTCATGTCATGTTTATGATTGTGACCTTTTAAAAATATTCAGGTTAATTAATTTACCGTTACTGTCTCATATTATTCAGCGTTCAGCTGTAGTTACGTGAACCTTTTACTAACGTTAACCTGTCTTAGTGTTCCCTTGACAAACGAAGCTTATTTACCAGCTTCTTATTCGAGTTTTCCCGTTCCACCTTAAACTGAGCAGCACTTACATATTGGCGCCTCAAAATTCGAGCAAGAAGCAAGAAGCTGTGAATAGGAAGCCAACCTCAGACTCTTTTACTCCCAGACGTTTAGCTACATTAAAGTTGTCCTGAATTGCTGTGAAGCTGGCTAACAGTGCGCGCGGTGCTGTCTGACAGGCTTGCTGTTTATACTATGAGAAAATGGAGGCAAGACGGGGGCACCAAAGCTATGCCAGAGAGGCTGGTGTGTTCCTGCCACACCCGCCCGGTAACGTCAGACCGACCCCGCCGCTGAGCCGCAGGAACAAACTGCCCCCTGTGAGGAAATATCCCACCTTAGAGCAGAAGGGCTTCTACTCAGAGCTTCTCAGCTCAGCAGCCAAACCACATGTGCAGGTAAAAGAGGAGGAAAAACTCCCAAGAAGTCCAACTGCCTCATCTTTCTCTCATACCTCCCCCTTTTCTGTCTCTCTCTCTCAATCACATGCACATTAAAGGGAAAGTCAACTAACATTTTAAATTTTCTGTTTAATTAAATGGCTGAAGGGGAATTCCACCAATTTCTGCATTATGACATTGATGGACTGTAAACAGAGTCATTCAGAGTGGTTTGATGTGAATCAGTTGATTGTACAGATTTCTTTACAGTGATGGAAGGTCTACAACACAAGTATAGCCATTTTATTTACCATCCAAAACCACCAGTGAACCTACATGTGTCTTCTGAGTTTTTATATGTAATGTTGATGATGGTAAAATAGTGGAAAATCTGAAAAAATAAGTTTTCTTTGGGAACTATTTTGCCTCACAACACCCTGCATGTACACCTCTGCCATTAATAGATTATATGAAATAGATTGACAAGACTTTTTAGGCCTTTATCACAAAACTAGTGAAAGTCAGTGTCTCCTGCATTAGGCAGTGCATTCATAATCAGTTCTTGTAATGACTTTCGGAGAGGGAGCTTTCAGAAGCATTAAACTCTTCAGACGTCTGGTTCCTATCACCACCACTGTGAGCAATTCTGACTCTGTAAGCTTCTCTAGAACGGAGCATTTCACACCAAACCACTCTGAACGACTTTGTTTACATCTCAACCGTTTAGGTAGACCAAGAAAAAATGGTGGAGTTCCCCTTTAAGATGTAAACAGGGTCATTCAGAGTGGTTTGATGTGAAACTTAGTGTACTTAGTTTTATAGAAACTTACTGAGTCAGAATTGTTTGCTAGGAACATCTGCCCCTGTGTTACATAAAATGGTTATGAATATGCTGCCTGATGTCCGAGACATTGTTTTGCAGTAGTTTTAAGATACAGCTTTGGCATATATAATTATTATTAATGTCATTATTATAATTTTTACCTTATAACAAAACTGATCTGATTCAAGGCTTGCTTGTCTTTTATGCCATTGCATATGTGAAGCACTATGAATTACCTCAGTTTACAAAAGGTGTTTCACACATAAACCTTCCTTGCCCAAAACATATACTTAAATCCATTCACGGCAGAGAGGTGCACTGAGGGTGTTGTAAAGCAAAATAGTCCCCAAAAGACGTTTTGTTCTGATTTACCACTATTTTATCACATTAAAATTACATATCTGTGTAACATTACGTATAAAAACTCAAAAGACATGTGTGGGTTCATTGTTCATTTTGGAAAGTAGATCAAATTGTTGTATTTGCATTGTAGACAGTGCGACTTCTGGTTTCTATCAGCACCGCTGTCAAAGAGTCCGAGTCGTTACATTTGAAATCGGAGTCTACAATGAACCATTTCACAACAAACTCTGAATATCTTTGTTTACATCTCAGCCACTGAAACTGAGGCAGAGATTTGGAAAAAATGGTGGAATTTCCCTTTAACTAAACATAACATTGAAATCTATGGTCTTGCCTAGAAATCCTGATTACTTACAGTTTCCTGTTTGTAGTCCTGCACACAGGGACCAGAGACTGAGCAGAGTTTGCTGTGCCAGGCTGGATATGATTCAAACACCCCTAAAGGTAAAACCATTCACTTTTTCATTCTGTACACAGTGAGGTAGCAAATAGCATATTAAATGCTAGTTTCAGGCCAGAATGCCCCTTTAAATCACCCATTCAGCTTAAAATCTGTGTTGGCCCAAATTAATCAAGCATCTGTGCATGTGATGTTTTGTTTTAGTTTGTTAATGTTCATTTGATATCTTAATATTTAAAAATTGTAATAAACATAAATGATAATATAAATTGTTAAATTAATGGATTTTAAAGTTTCAGTTTCCAGGATTACAAATAAATTATAGTAAAATTGATAGAATTTTGGAGAGAGCCCATTTCAGTCAGTCATGATTTTTCTTGATTTTTTTCCCCCCAGCAAGCACTTTTCGGACTCCCGCTGACCTGTTCAGCATCATTGAGAAGGACAAGCATGGGCCAACCACTCAGATCCTGCAGCAGTCGGACTTCTCCTCAGGAGGCTTCATGGCTAAAGTGCAGTTACCCTACAGCTGCTCACCTGGCCAACAGCCGCGCAACATTGAGATCGAGAGGTGAGAAACAGGAGCAAACAACGGGTGATTATGGATGAGGTGTAGATCTCTGACCAACGACCATTTGATTCTAAATGTTTTATTTAGGGACTGTTCCATCTCACCACACTCTGCAGGAATCTCTCCATTAACAGATTTAAAATAAACACATTTTAAATCGAAACCTTCACAAAACCATTGCAAAGCAATATGAACAATTTTGCGTAATAGGTTTCTGAGGGAGCTTTTCTTCAGACGTCTGGTTCCTATCACCACCACTGTGAACAATTCTGACTCTAAATTTCTCTTGAATGGAACATTTCACATCAAATCACTCTGACTGACTTTGTTTGAATCTTAACAGTTTAATTAGTGTGATTCTCCTTTAAGTCACAGTTTTGTATATTAAAATATATTTCAATTAAAGTCGTCTCTGTCTCTGTGTGCACTAATGGTGATGTGCTGTGTTACTGAATTTCCAGACAGCGGCGGGAATATCTAAAATTAGACATCACTCAGCTACTGGCTGAGCTTGGCATTGAATCCAGCCAGCTGGTGTCTAGGGAGCTGAGCTCGGAGGATCACCCACAGAACTCCTGTCTACCTGTGGCTAAGAAACCTTGCCCACCAGTTTCTAACTACCTTCCTCTGGAGGTGAGATCTACCTCTGTAGACATAGTAGGCTGCTTACTATGTTTGTTCAGACATGGGGCAGGTTGTCTTTTTTAGCCATTAATGCCTTTTCATGGTAGTATAAAATACAATCTGTCTTTTTGGGACCCTTAGTTGACTTATGCAGTATATCTTTTACTTCAATAACAATGAAGGAATATATTTAGATGGAAATGTGTATGTTTAGAACCAGAAACTGGAATTTTATCTTCACAGATGGGCAAGCAAGTCAACATTTAATAAGTGTATTTAGTGTTTAGCCCCTTAAATGGTGGCCAGAATCCACTGGCAGGTCCGAAGTTTTACTATGCTTCTATGACCTAAGAATAACTCAGCCGGTTTTCATTACAGTCAGTGTAGTTAGCAATGTATTCATTAGTCTAGTACAGGGGTCAGCAACCCAAATGTTAAAAAGAGCCATTTTGTCAAGTTTCAACAAAAATCAAACCGTCTTCAGAGCCACAACATTTCATTTCTTTTCCACAAAGGTAGAATAGTTTTTTGTAAAATGTCTCTTAATGTTAGACTCTTAATGCGCCAAGGAACCAATCACATACCAATTGAAAGAGGGGGTCATAGAGTTTCTGACTGTCAGTGGAAGATGGTCAGTCTGAGAGGAGATGAGACCCCTGAGCAGAAAGCGTTTTGCGTTCTCCACTTCAATAAGAGTGAATCCGTCATAACTGTGCAGCGTGATTTTTGTGGGCAGTGAACCTCAAACAGCTCAGAGCCTTCGTCGTTGGTTCCACAACACTGGACGATCTCCAAAATCACACTGAAAGAGCCGTGAGTGCAGCGACACCCGACATGCTCAATCCAGTATGGGATGAATTTGACTATGGTGTTGATGTTGTCTGCAGCTGGAGGAGGTTCATATTGAGCACTTGTAATATTACATAATAAACTTTATGCTCAGTAAAACCATTTACAGTTTACTGTCTTGTTCTGTAATGATTTACAAGTGGAATAAATCATTTTGAAATCGAGTGAATCTTTTTGAATCACCTTGTACATAACTCCAGCGTTTAAGACCATTTATTGTTAAAGCTGTGTTGAACGATCAGCAAAACTTTGTTTCACTGCAAAGGATTATTTTATTTACCTAGAAACCTAATTCTGTGCTGTAGAGCCGCAACAGGGCAGTAAAACAGCTGCATGCGGCTCCAGTGCCGTGTGTTGCTGACCCCTGGTCTAGTATGTATAGCACTGTAGTATGTGGTCTTGGACACAGTCGTTGCCTGCCACACTGTCACATTTTAATTGTTTGTGGCCATCAAACATTAAATTGAACTGCTGTATAATGTTTTTACTAAGCCACTGTGCATGTATGTGTTACTCCACTGTGATGTTGTTTGTAGATATTTGACAATGAGGAGTTTGACTGCCGGACACCAGAGGACTGGCTGGCTTTGGGCTTTGAGCCAGGGTCAAAGGACCGCAAACCCATCCCAGCCAAGGCACTTCTACCCAGCAGTGACTCCAACTTACCTGGTATAAAGCTTTTAAAATCCTGAGACTATACCAAGAACAACTGTAGTAACATTATACTGACATACAGCTTAAAGCTGCGTCTATCTCCTGTTTTTAAAAGATGATTCTTACTGTAAACTTCATGTAGTTTGTATACATGTATAAAAGTAGAATTCTCTTTCTACGCTATCACTTGAGAGCTCAAGGAGTTGTGCTTCTCATTCTCTTCCTTTTTTGATGGTTCTGATGTAGAGGAGCAGAAGAGTTTGACTCCAGAGTATTCGTGGCAGTCTGTGGGGGTCCTGGACTACTGCCCAGAGAAGAAGCAGTACCTGGTGCAAAAGGCAGATCCACACGGCCGGATCAGAGACAGCAAGGGCAAACTTGTGATCGGAGCACAGAGTAACAAAGGCAAGTGGCAGAGCGCAGATGAATATTTCATTATGCACAATTTGTACAAAATCTTTGCAACTATCTCAGTGTCTCCATCTACTCATCCTCTAGGTCCACTAATAGCTGGTCAGTTTTGGGTTCCGCGGGTCACGCTGATGTTTTTGGCTGAGGACCCACGCCTCTTTGCTCAGAGGGTCCAGTTCGCCTGCAACTTTAGGAGAACCACAGAGGCCCTGCTGCTATACCATCTCTCTGTGGACTGCATGCCATCATGGAGTGGGACACCCACCATGCCGCCCACCAGCCTCCAGCAGATCAATACCCTTGCCCTCAGCACGCCAGGCCTCAGACTTCCACAGTAAGAGACGTGGAGATAGACCTAATAAATGGCCTTTTCACAGTAGCCATGAAAGGCAGCTTGTGGCTGTTTTTCAGGTCCTTCAGTTTTTGCCATATGAATGTCTTCAGTAATATTGAAGCCTGATGGAGCTTGATTTTCATTACCAAGCATGTCAACATTTATAAGGGTTTTTATTGTGTTAATAGCTGTTTTTTATTGTGGCAGTTGTGCACGATATTTTGATATAAGGAAAGCTGCAGTTGTCTGGTTTATCTCTGCATGGTTGTCTTTGTGGAGATGTGTGAATCATTTTCACAACAGGGGGTTCTCACCCCTCCTCCATAACCCCTCATTGCTGGGAAGAGTCACAACAATTCCCATTTTAATATTTTAACATCAGAGGCATTGGGCCAGATTTGATGGGAGTTATTTGAACCACATCGTATGTCTTTACATATTAATTTCATGTGCACAGGCTCCAAAAGAAGCTCTGGCTCGATGTTTAGGTCTCACATGCAAAATCAACATTATACTGATGAAGACATGATAATTCGCTCACATCCTCAGAAGACATGTTCTTCACCAAGTTTTGACTGAGTTCTCTCTGAATACTCTTTCAGCATGCTCACAATCATCAGATTCATTCACTCGGGAAAAGGGGTCCGAAGCACAACCCATGTTACAAAATGTTGTTCCTCAAGTTATTCTTCTCAAGCAATTACACATTTTCACCAGAGAGGTCTCCAAATCCTCAAATCTTACATAGTGTAGCTTTAACATACACAAGCAAATAAAACATTGGCACATTTAATTAAATAACACAGCAACCGATTATAAATTTGTTTAAATTTGACTGATTTTCATACCTAATATTAGGCCTTTTTGGAAAAAAAGGAAAAGAAAAATTGAATACATACAAAGTAGAAAATGCAAGGAAAAACTATAAATCACTAGCATATCGAGTGTAATTACACAAAAAGCAGTGATGCGGCTTCTTGTTAACAGATATTATCAATTCTCAGTGATATATAAATGTGCAGTTTGTGCAGTAAACATAATGTCTACTCGATGTGTTTCCCTGTTTGTGTGTGTGTGTGTGTTTGTGTTTAAAACCAGACTGCAGGAGTGTGTGAAACGTTTGGAGGAGGAGGTTCATCTGGAATACGTTCGCACTATGAACCGAATCAGCTTTGACAGGCTCGTACAGGACAACCCTGAGGAGTTCTCCTACATCACTCTGCCCCAGGAAGAACCAGAGAGAGTTCCCCTCAAAGGTATGGTAGGGTGTAAGTGTGGGAACAGCATTTGAACATACAGTACTGACAAATCTAAATTTGCAGTTGAGATTATTTGAATCATGAGAAGCAGAAAATGCAACCAACTTCTAAGACTGAACTTTGGAGATGTGGAAAAATATCCTTCTGAAAAGAGTGGAAGACAAAGGATGACACATTAAATACTGAAAACATTGATGTTATATTTAGTTGTTGAGGCCTCAGTGTAATTATCTGCTAAATATGTTTTTTGTTTTGTTATCCTGATGTTGAAAAATTAATAACTTAATGGCCTTAATGGATATTTTGGTTGGAAGTTAAATAAATGAGAGGTGCTCTCTGACTCTGCAACAGTGCTGAATACTACCTTTCATATGTCTGGAATCACTTGTCATATTCATATGTTAAATTATTTTATATATAATGATAACTTGTATTATGCAGATTTAATTGTTATTATTATAAACTTAACACCAACAATATATTTTGTTATTCAACAATTTAAGGTCACTTGCAATAAGAAGAAGTCATTAATGATGAATAATATACTGCAATTGTCTATTTACAGTAATATTTTGTCAAATGACTTGCCTTGAGATTTGATCACAACTTTTGATATACAAGGCATTCTGGATATTAATTGTATTGGAACTTAATTCTCTATGTTATACAGCTTTCTCAGTCATTTAAAGCTCTGTTGATTGTTCTAGAGACATCTAAAATGTATTAATTTGTTTATATTTTTCTACAAATTATTTTAAACCTCTGAAGGTGTATAGCTTCATATTATTGAAGTCATTGATTCCAAGCTTTTGAAGTGTTATTCCAAACTTTTGAATGGTAGTGTACTTATAGATGTGTCTCCCACTGAGAACCCATGGCTGGTGTACACTCTGTAACCCCAGGCTCGGTGGCTGTTCCGGACTACCTGTTTGAAAAGAACCGTGCTGCTTTTGCCTTTAACTCCCTGCTCACCAAGCCGGAAGTCATCTCTGTTCTGTCCAAAGTCAGAGCGGAGTGCGACAGAGTGGCTTCCATGAGCCTCTTTTACGTCACCTTCACCAAACCTCTACGCCTGGAGGAGTTTGAGCTGGCACAGTCACAGACCCACACACAGGTAATGTGCTGGCAACATATTATTGCTTATACAAATGGACAGAGTATGGACAGATGGACAGAGTATGGTCAGCATGGACAGAAGTTAGACTTTAGGATGACTGCTACTGTTATTTTTTTATTATTTTTAGCAATGTAACATAGTTTGTCCAGTTGGATAGATAAGAGTACGAGCAAGCCTATTTGACATTACTTAACTCCTGAATCTTAAATGATGTATTATTGCTGTCACATGGGCAGTTTTGATCCTGGTTCGGTCAGGCCTGTGACACAATTGACCATTCTGCTCTGGTTAAAAGACTGCTCAGGCTGGTTTATCTCCTTTTTATCCAATTTGTGTCTGTTGGTGACATGATGCCCTCAGCTGCTGCTCTTAACTGTGGAGTGCCTCAGGGGTCAGTTCTGGGGCCAATATTATTCTCCCTTTATATGCTTCCCTTACGGTGTTATATTTCTATAATATTTCTTTTAGTTTTTATGCTGATGTTTTATTTTACATCCATGTTTTTTATTTTAATTATTTTATTTTTCTTTCTGTATTACAGTGTGAGGCACATTGTGGCTTTTGCCTTTAAATAGGCTTTACATCTAAAACTTAGTTTCTATTTACTTAATGCAGTTTAAGGCACTTTGGTGATGATTTAGGCATGCATTTTGCACAATGCTAATTTAATTACTTACACTACCTGTGAGCCTCAAAGTTCCAGTGCAAAAGTATAGCTTGGCTGATGGACTACATTTGGGGTCATTTTTTGCAAAGCTATTTCTGAAACACACACATATACTCACTATGCACTTTATTAGGAACAACTGAACACCTATTCATTCATGCAATTATCTAATCAGCCAATTATGTGGCAGCAGTGTAGTGCATAAAATCACGCAGATAAAGTCCAGCAGCTTCAGATAATGTTCACATCAATCAGACTGGGGGAAGTATGTGATGTCAGTGATTTTGACCTTGGCATGATTGTTGGTGCCATTTGGGCTGTCTTGAGTATTTCTGTAACTACTGATCTCCTGAAATTTTCATGCACAACAGTGTCTAGAGTTTACATAGAATGGTGCAATAAAGAAAAACATCCAGTGTTCTGAGCGCTGAAACTAGTTGTTGATGAGAGAGGTTCAACAGAGAATGATAAGACTGGTTCATTCTGGTGGAAAGGCAGCAGTAACACAGATAACTACTCTGTACAATTGTGGTGAGCAGAAAAGCATCTCGGAATGCACAACATGCCAAACTTTGAGGTGGATGGGCTACAACAGCAGAAGATCACATCGAGTTCCTCTTCTGTCAGTCAAGAACAGAAAGCTAAGGCTGCAGTGGACACCAAAGCTGGACAGCTGAAGACTGGAAAAATGTAGCCTGGTCTGATGAATCTGGATTTCTGCTGAGGCACACAGATGGTAGTGTCAGAATTTGGCACCAACAACATGAATCCATGGATCCAACCTGCCTTGTGTCAGCAGTCCAGGCTGGTGGAGGTGGTGTAATAGTGTGGGGAATGTTTTCCTGGCACACTGTGGGCCCATTAATACCAATCAATCATCAGTTTAGGTCAGTATTCTTAAGTGGCCTTCGCACTTGGCATATTTGAGTCCAATAGAACACCCCTGGGATGTGGCAGAGCGGGAGATTCGCAGCATGAAAGTGCACCTGAAAAATCTGGAATTTCATGATGCAGTCATTTAAACATGGGCCAGAACCTCAAAGGAATGTTTCCAACATCTTGTGTAATCCATGCCCTGAAGAATTGAGGCTGTTTAGAGAGCAAAGGGAGGCCCTGCCCAGTATTAGTATGCCATTCCTAATAAAGTGTTCGGTTTGTGTATATAACAGCATCTTCCCACACAAGTGAATGTAAAACACATGCTGTGCTCAGAGCTTATAGCCTCCCAGTAACTGCTCTTTTGGTGGTGGTTAACCACTCCTTCTTTCTCTCCATCCTGCCACAGGTGCAGCTCTTCCTGAAGGACTCTTGGGTAACCACTCTGTGTAACGGAATCTGCTCCAGTCTGCGGGATGTGGGGGCCGGCTGGTTCTGTCTGAAAGAGTCTCGCTGGGAGGTGTACCGCATGTCCAAGATGTGCCGCCTGATGGCGTCGATACGCTACAGCCTACAAGACTCCCTACGTTTCCTTGTGCAGGACTCACTGGCCAGCCTGGCTCAGCTGCTGCTGGACGCCTGCCACAACGTGCTGCACTGCCCCTCTGACCTCACCTGGGGCTCCGACCTCATCAACAGTCCATACAAGTCAGTCAAACTCCAGAGAAGAGCAGAAAACTGCTTCTTAAGCTGTGTTCACACTACATAAATGGTCACAAATCAGATTTTTTGCCTGAATGTGACACCAATCTTTTCTTTTTAGAGCTGTGTAAACACTAAAATCTTTACGTTATATGTGTGTTTACATAATGACCGGTTTACAGACCAAAGAAGAACCCGCTGTTCCTGGTGGACTTGGTGCTGGATCAGACTGGAGTTCATTATAGCACCCCGCTGGAGAGCTTTGAGACGTCCATCGTTAACCTTCTGGACAAAGGGATCCTGTGCACTCATAACATCCCTCAGCTGGACAAGGTTAAATAGACATCACTGTCACATTAACTACAGCCGTGTTAACTCTTGATATTAACATATCAATGTAAATATTAATAAACAGTATTGGTGTCTGTCTCAAGTGCTCTGACCATAAGTGGACAATGATACGTAAAACTGTTTACATCCAGCATTTCCATGCTTCTCAAATGCGTCTCCAGTGACGAATCATGATTGGATTTCGTGACTGGAAGAAGGGTACCATCTTTTGCTGCGTGGTTTGCAGAGTGGTTTGGTGTGAAATGCCAGTTCTAAAGAAACTTGCCATGTCAGAATTGTTCATAGTGGTGGTGATAGGAACCAGACGTCTGAACCGTTTAATGCCTCTAAAAGCTCCCTCACAGAAAGTTATTACATGAAATGGTTATGAATACACTGCCTGTTGTCTGAGACGTTGTTTAATGATATGTTTGTAATAAGGTTTTGGCCTAAAATGTATTTTTTTAAATCTGTTCTTGGTAGAGGGGTGCATGCAGGGCATCGTAAGGCAAAATAGTCCCCAGAGAAATAAGAACAAATAAAATAAAGAACAAAATAAGAATCAACAGGCCTGCTGAACAGCCTGATTTACTTTTGATGACCGGTGATAATACTTTTGAGTTTCTAGCGGGTTGTATTTTCCATGAACCCAGATGTTTCCCCTCACACATGGTCTTAGTGAGGCGACATCTGCCTGGAAAATCAAGATCTGTGATGCAAAACAGGACGAAAGTGAACACACCATGGTGAAAAAACAATAGGTAATTCGCAGTCTAATTTTCTTAGCAGAGGAAAGAGAAAAACAGAAAAAAAGGGCCTATCCGGATAAAGATTAAATCACATAGTAGCACCAGTAAAGCACCAGACTAAAGGCATCAGTTGGTTAGCATAAATGTATGTTGCCAATTATTCCAAGTTTTGGCTGTATTTTTGGGGATAAATAAGATGATAGATTTTGAGGATTGGGCCAAACAGCTGATTTTTGTGTCAGCATTCGAAACTGAATATTCAGTTCAATCTAGTTGGTGCGACTGTACTATCTAGGGACCAGCCATGACAAATTCCACCGTTGGGTCCATACTATTTTCAGATTTCCCACCATTTTACCATCATCAGTGTTACGCAGGTTTTAGATATTAGTGAATAAATTAGTGAATTAGTGAATAAAATGGCTATACTTGTGTACTAGAGGTGCTCATTGGAGTGGTTTTTACTTACTGACAGCAGTGTTGAAATGTTCTATGCTGTTCTGTGTTCTGTGTTCATTTGTCTGTATAAAAAGCATTAATCAATTACAAATTAGAACAGTTCAGAATGATTCCGTCTCCCCCTTCCACTATCTCAACATATCTCTGTCTCTCTCTGTATCTCTCAGTTTGTGATGAAGAATTTGTTCATCAGTGGAGTTCCTCTGTTGGAGTCAGTGGGTCTGTATGAGCCGGCAGTGAGAGAGCTGAGAGAGAGAGTGAGTCTCGCCCTGTACCAGGCTACCATTCCTCTCCAAGCCTACGCCCGAGAATATGAATGCCACCTTGAGCTGCACAACTCTGACATCAACACCTTTCTGAAGTACACCTCCCTAAATGTCTCTCTTGGTTTAAACTTTAGCTGCATTTTAAAAGGGGCATATCATGGCAAACTGAATTTTACTTGCTTTTTTAACTTCTTTCTGCAGGCCCTTAGTGAGCCCTTTAACCAAAAACCATTAAAGAGCCCATATTCTACTTTTTTCTTGTCTTTTATTGCTTTCCCTGAGGTCCACTTGTAAAGTTTAAGGGGTTTGTGTACCAAATCTGCCATAAATCATTTTACATGACAATTTTCCAACCTCTCTTTATTCCTTAGCAGACTGTTTTTTTATTACTGTGATTTTAAGACTGATAAATGTAAATGAGGTCTGTTCTGATGGGCTGTCCTATATTTTGGCTTAGTCAAAAAGCAGACTGGGCTGAAACACTCCTTATAACTTCAGCAAGAAGGGCTGAGGCTAAATTGCTGTAGGCTGAATGGATATATATAAAGAAAGATAATACATGTAAATGTAAATGAATTGGTTTACGACACAAAAAAATCACAAAAAACATGAATTCGAAACAAGCTGTTTTTGCAGGTTAATTTTTGTGTATGGAGCTTATCACATGGGGCGTGTATGTTCTGAAACTATAACAATGTTTACATACTACATCAAACTCAAGTGCATTTTCCATGATACAAGCCCTTTAAACGTTGCTGCTTCCAAAGAATCCACATCTTGGAAAGGAGCGGCTGACGTCCCTAATGATTTCAATCTGAAGTTAACAGGTTGTCCTGTCCAGTTTAGCCTGGTTTGCTTTCTGAATGAGGCACAATAAAGAGGAACCAATCAGAACAGAAGTCGTGTCACTTTTAAAGGCACAGTAACAAATAGTCTGTTTAATTCTGCTAGATTGAGAGGCTGAAAAATGATCATGTGAAAATGACTTTTTGGGACATAAACTCACATAAAAGTGAGATTTTGGGGAAAATATGTACTAGAAAAATGTAGAATATGTCTCGTTAGGCTTCTCTTGTGCTACACTCTTAAAAATAATGGTTCTTTAAGGGTTCTTTAGTAAAGAAAATGGTTCTATATAGAACTATGAACACTCAGAGAAACCTTTGCATGATTAAAGGTTTTTTTGCATCACTAAAGGGATTGATCAAGAATGTGCTGTAGATGGTTCTATGTAGAACCTTTTTGAAAAAGGGTTCTATATAGCACCAAAAAGAACCCTTTTTGGTGCTATACAGAACCCTTTTCAAAAAGGATCCATATAGAACCATATAAAACACATTCTCTGTCAATCACAAGAATGCTTTTTACAATGCAAAAAACCCTTTCAGAGTGCTCATGGTTCTATACAGAACCATTTTCTTTACTAAAGAACCCTTGAAGAACCATCTAAGTGTGTACTGTGTTTGTGACTCTCCAGGCATCACAGTGAAGAAAACACCACCCCTGTGGAGGTGAAGCGGGAGGTGGAGAGGCACCTGAAGGAGAAAGAGATTTTGGATCAGTCTCTCCCCTCATCCATCGTCATCGGGCCCTTCATGGTGAGCGTGGAGGCTGTGCGACAGAGCCTGTCCAAGAAACGCCGCGCCCTGGCCAACGCTGTGCTGGACCGCCTCGCTCTGAAGCTCCGCAAGCAAGTGGAGGAGGCAAGTCACTCCAGCAGAGTATCTACACTCACACTACTGCACAGTTTAACCCTTAGATGTCACAGTTTCTGTGTGATAAATGTATTGGATGTTAGCTATTACTGATTTTTTGCATTACTGGACAACTTATGCATTTATCAGAATGTGGGCTCTTTTATTAGAGATTTTAAACTGTGGACCTACATAAAGAACTCCTGTGTGTTTCAGGCATGTGAGGAGTGCAAAGCCATCAGCAGGAAGTTGTACGAGAAGCCCAACAGCATTGAGGAGCTGACAGAGCAGAGGGAGTGGATGAAGCAGATCCCAGATCAGCTAAAGGCTCAAGAAGTAAAATACCATTCCACACAGTCCAGACATTTGCTTTTCAGGAAACCAGCAGCATTGAAAGGGGAATTCCACAGATTTTTCAAAATGTCTGAATAATTCAGTCCTTGAGATGTAAACAGAGTCATTCAGAGTGGTTTGGTGTGAAATGGTTCATTTTAGAGAAACTTACAGACTCTGAATTCTTCACAGTGGTGGTGATAGAAACCAGGAGTAACAATGTCTACAACACAAAAATAGCCATTTTATTTACTGTCCAAAACCACCAGTGAACATACACATGCTTTGGGGACTATTTTGCCTTAGAACACCCTGCATGTACCCCTTTGCCATGAATGGATTAAAATAAATGGATTAAAATTAAAACATTTTAAGACAAATTTTATCACAGTACAATCATAAAACAATGTGTCAGACACCAGGAAGCATATATCTGACTATTTAATGTGCTGTGATGGAGATTTCAAAGGTAATAAACTCTTCAGACGTCTGGTTCCTGTCTCCACCACTGTGAACAATTCTGACTTGGCAAGTTTCTCTGGAACAGAGCATTTTACACCAAACCCCTCTGAATGACTTTGTTTACATCTTAGTCATTTAATTGTGTAGAATTTTTGAAAAATCGTGTGGAGTTCCCCTTCAAGTTACTCTTTTCTTTAGTTGATGTTATACCCCAAATATGTAAGCAACAACTGTGAAAAAATATTTTGTATTTTTGGCTTTTAATGCATGATTCCTTTCCATAATATATTTCCTCCTCTCTTTCTCCCACTGCTGAAACACTTGGGCAGGAAGTTTTGGCCAAAGCCATGTCTGACTATGAGCTAATAGATGAGTTTTTCTACAATCTGTCCAATGAGGATTTCAATGCAAAGTAAGTTGAGCAGCATCTTTGTCTTTATTAAAACATTACCTGCTGCCAGGCCTGGAATACCCCTGCACAGTAGGACCTGACTGACATGTTGCGGCCCACACTGAGACCGATTTTAACAGGGCTGAAAATTCTGATAACTGATAATATTAGCCGACAAAATCTTCTATTTATACTTCAGATTTTATTTTTATATTGCAGTTAAAGAGTGATTACCTGATAGATTATTTATCAATTGTCAGTTATCAATTGTCAAACATTAAACTTGAAGAGACAGCACCAACAGATTTTTGAAGTCACATTTGGTCAAATCAAGAATAAAAACCTGAAGGCTTAAACTGTAATAAACAACAAAAACTTAAGTAAATATACCAAATTTTATATGTACAGCAAAGATTTGAGTGACTATTGATCACTAGAGTTTGATAGCAACTTCCTAGCCCCAGTGCTAAACTACAGAAGTGACACCAAACATGTCTCAGCTGATCAACTACATCTGGTGTATGTGGAAAACTATATAGTATCGTGGGTGGATATTTGAATGATGAGTTACTTGTGTTAGGTACTGCAGTGGCACAACTATCTAAGGTTTCTAAGTGTTCTGTCACCAGGAGGTGACGATGTGCGAATCGCAGCAGGGTTGAGACCTAAAAAAGTGCTAATTATTGCCAATATTTTTGTCGATGCCAATAAAAACGCTGGCCATCAATATCAGCCGATATTATCAGTTCGCTGATGTATCGGACAGGCCCTACTGCACAATAGCATGTTGTCTCACTGTAGCACACCTTATCTGAGAGCCTGATTAAGGTATGTAAAGCCTGGCAGTGTAGGGGAATGGTGGATGATCTAGCTGTGCTGAAACTCACAATGCTGATTTGAAATCAGATTCACAGTTAGAACTGCTCAAGCAAACATGTAAAGGTGTACTGCTTAAGATTTTCTGAGAAATCTTTTTAAATTTTAAAGTTTCTCATATATATAGAATAGCTTTTTTGCCATCATAGCTCCTACTGTTTGTGTAGCAGGTTTTTAAAAGCCCCAATTGGTCATAGCATAGATCTTTTTTTAAAAAGACAACAACAAAAAACTGAAGACAAATAAAATAATTAAAAAAAGCATGATGGACACTGCAAATGTTAGTGCAGCCCTTAATACAGAAAACAAGAGAAGTCTTGTTCTAGATCAGCATGTGGATATTAAATAATAATATGTTTGTCTTGTGTGGAGGTGGACAGCGATGGCCTGGCCCCATAAGATCCTCACTCAGATGGAAAACGTGCAGATTCAGCATGTAGAGGATGAGGAACGCTTCCACAAGATCCAGCTGGTCGACCAGAACAACTTCCAGGAGCGCTTGGAATCCCTACAGGTCAGAGCCTCTCTCAGGTCACCTGTGGTCATCTGCAGTCATGTGAGACTGTTTGTTATAGTATGTAAGATACATTTTGGACAGCTTGGAAATCCAAGGTAAAGATGTGATTTACACAAATTAAAATGAGTCCGATTTGACTAAAAAGAGAGAATTGGCAACTCTGTTTTGTTGTGTTGCTACACAAAGGCAGCTCATCTGAATAATCATACCTATTATATACTCAGAAAAATGGAACATGACAGATTTAATCACGATAATTATAACATTCCCATGTATTGCCCACCCCTGCATTAGGATACTTATCTTCAGCCCAGCAGCCTCCTCTCCACCTAGTGGTGATTTGAGGTACTGCACCACATTTTTTGCTAAAGGGCCTCTTTGTGTGTTTGTGTGTTTCAGATGGTGGTCGCAGGCTTTGCTGCCTATACAGATTTCAGTCGAGCACATGAGGTGGCGAACGAAGTGCGTCGTGTTGGAAAGCAGCTGAAGGAATCTCAGACGATGGCGCAGGTTTACAACAACCGTGAACGCCTCTTTGGCATCCCTGTCACCAACGTACGTGTCTAAAGCACATCCCACGACCAAAACAGTGTAGTGCATTGCACGTTACATTTTATTACTGTTCTCTCTCCTGTCTCAGGGAAAACTTTCATCAGTAGTCTAAACTTTATGTGTTTATTAAAATCCCGACTGATGTATTGGTTGGCCAATAATATTGGCTAGTATTAATGAACCGCGGTTTCCACTATGGGTGATTCTCACGCACATGACAAATACCTAAGACCTAAGACCTAACATTTAATTGACATTAAATTTGTAATGTTTTTTTGGTTATACAAGCAGTGATACCTGGTTAAATAACAAAAAAATAAACCTGAATGATTTCATTGATTTTACATAGATTTTTAGTAACATTTTTCCAATTAATTATCAATTCCAATTAAAAATGTTTTTTCCCCAACTTTATTTTCCCCAACATATTCTGTATGTTGTTGTCTAACTAAGTGTTTTAAAGCTAATTATTAGAACATTTATATTTTATAAAAAGTGAAAAGTAAAAAAAAATAAAATCAGTAATGAGAAATATGAACACATTGCAATAATGAGAATTATGGTAAAAATGCCAAAACTTGAAAAGACAAAAACATATTCCTTTGAATATTGCTTATCTATGTAACACTCAAAAATCTATTGACATGGATTAAGGTTGCTTTGTAATACAGTTGCATGCAAAGGTTTGGGCACCTCTGTCAAATAATATGTTGATTTTCTATAAAGAAAAAAAATGAACATGTCCTCTACAGAAAACAAACTGCACAGTTTAATACACGATTACTGTTTATTTGGAGATTTTTTTTGTTGGAAAAAAAGCATAAAATGTGGCCCGTGCAAAAGTTAGGGCACATTTTATATTTTATGTTTTTTTCCAAATAAACTCAGCAAATACATAGAAATTGTGCACTAAATTGACAGAAAAATGCCATTTCACTGGGGGTTTTCAGACTTTTGCATACGGTTGTAAGCTAACCCTGTGGTGGACGTTGTGCTGTTTCAGCTGATCATAATTTGAGACTTCTGCAATACAAGGATACTCAGATACTTTGATTTTCAGGAGTCAACCAACTTGAATTTGAATAGATTTAATAATTAGAATAACAACTTCAACCAAAAACAGACATCGGTGGTTTAATGCAAAATAAAAACCACCATACTGTATGACACCTATGGAAATACCTTCCTGCATGTGCTGTTTTTTATTTTTATTTCTCTGGTCCAGTACGAGCGGGTGCAGAAGCTTAGCCGAGACTTCCAGCCATTCCGGGACCTATGGACGACCACCTCTGATTGGCTACGGTGGCACGAGAGCTGGATGAACGACCCATTGTCCACTATTGACCCAGAACAGCTGGAACGTAATGTCAACGATGCCTATAAGACCATGCACAAGTGTGTCAAACTGTTCAAAGACATACCAGGTGAGTAAAACATCAACATAAGGCAAACATTAGCCAGAAACCAGGTCATCTTGTCTTCAGACTGGTCATCTCGTCTTACATCTGTCCTCCTCTCCACTCAAGGGTTATCATAGATTTTAAATTTTAATTAGTTTTATTTTAATTTAGTTTTTCATTTTGATTTTAGTTTAGTTTCGGTTAAAAGAGTGCATTAATAGTTTTATTTGTGTTTTTATTTTCTGAAAAAAAAAATAGTTTTAGTTTAGTAAGTGTAAGTGTAGAATGAAATCAAACCAACAGTAGACTGAGCTTGGTTCGACTCCAGCTTTCCTTAAAGATTCCCAAACACAGACGGGATCCACTTCTAAACTCTCATTCATGCACTTGAAAAAAATGACACCTAAAAGTTTTTCTTCTCGGTAATTCTGTTTAATTTTAGTTAGAGTTTTTGTGTTTTTGAAAACTGTCATTTATTTTATCATAGGTAACGAGCAAATTTTTTCACTGCTAGTTTTTGTTTTAGTAATAGTTTTAGTTCACTATAATATCCCTGCTCCACTCTTCTCTCCCAGCCTGTCAGGATGTGGCAGCCTACATCCGTGGTGTCATCGAGGACTTCCGTCCGAACATCCCGCTGATCCAGGGCCTGCGGAACCCGGGCATGCGCAGCCGTCACTGGGCACTGCTGTCCGAGCGCATCCACATGAACGTGAAGCCCAAGGCCAACCTCACATTCTCCCGCTGCCTGGAGCTCGGCCTGCAGCAGCATGTGGATGAGATCGCCCATGTCGCGGAGGTGGCCAGCAAAGAGTACGCCATTGAGCAGGTGCGGCACATAATGGGCAGGTTTGGGTGTGATTTACGTAGTGGACAGTGGAAAGGTTTAGACCACTGTAATGTGTTACTGGCTGGTTGCCCTGCTTTCTCTCTAAATTGGATCCAACTAGTTCAGAAAGCAGGAGCCCTGAGCTCCAGCAAGTCTTTCTGATCTGTTGAAGCCTTATAGCCCACCCAGACCACTTTGCTCAGCTGAGGCAGGCTTATTATAAACTCTTAGAATAACTTTCTTGTATAGACTATAGACTATTGTTTAGACATACAGTATGCATAAGTTCGGGCGCTCCTGGTGAAATTATATTTGGTTGTTTTTTTAATTAAAAATAAGTTAACACATCATCTACGGAAACCACACTTCTGCACATTTTAATGCACAATTGCTGTTTATTTGCTGAATTTAACATATTAGGGGGAAAAATAAGCATAAAATGTGGCCAGTGCAAAGGTTATGGCACATTTTAGATTCAGTGTTTTAAACTCAGGAAGTAAATAGAAATTGTGCAGAAAATGCAATATTTAAGTTAACTTAAGCTAACTTTTCACTTAGAAAATGAAGAAAATATGTAATTTGTTCAGGTTCAGTGTTTAAACTTGCTCTTGACTTACTCTTCACTTGATATAATTTTTTTTTTCTTACTTCCTACTAATTATTTGAAACATCTAAACAGAATTTTGTACATTTGTCTGCAACTGAATTGGTTTTATATTATTGAAAACTCTGAAACCTTTAGTGTATGACCTACACACATCAGGAATTGACAATTATTGTGTGTAATATAAATATTATAAAATAATGAAATCCAGAATGTTGAGGACAGTAGAAATTAAACGCTTTTGTCTGCATATGTGTGATCAGGCTCTGGACAAGATGCAACAGGAGTGGTCCTCAGTGATGTTTGAGGTTTTGCCATATAAGGAGACGGGCACCTACATCCTGAAGAGTCCTGACGAGGCCTCCCAGTTGCTGGATGACCACATTGTGATGACTCAAAGCATGTCCTTCTCTCCATACAAGAAGCCATTTGAGGAAAGGATCAGTTCCTGGGAGAGCAAGCTGAGGATGACACAGGTATGACCAAGATACGGTCAAGAAACTTACCTGAAGGTGGAGGCCTTTTAGCCTGATTATGGCACAGGCTTTTTCCAGAAATAGACACAATTTTCCCCAAAGTTAATTAGCCAAGACAGGTTTGATACTTTAGTTTTGCACTGGAGCTACGAGGCTAACAAGGAATGGAAGCTTATACCCCACCAATTATACCCCACAGTTGATCCCACTGGAGTAATTAGCATTGTGCTGACTACAAGGCTGAAGCATCACATACTTGCCTCAAGTTGTTAAGTAGTCTGTAATAGACTTGCTTATGTGGTTTCTGGCACTATATGACATACCGTTATCTATAAACACAGTCAAAAGGACAGACAAAATATGACGTGTCCAATTTCATACACTGTCATGTGCAAAAGTTTGAACACGCCTGGTCAATTTACGTTTTGTTGATTTTCAAAGTGAAAATAAGTTAACACACCCTCTGCAGAGAAAACAAGCAAATGTGGCATTTTTCTATACATTTTAGTGCACAATATCTATTTATTTGACATGTTTAACATGGGAAAAAATAAAACACAAACTCAGTGTGTTAAATTCGCACAAGCAGTAATTGTGCATTATATTGTGCATTAAACTGTATTCTCAGTAGAGGATGTGTACGTTTTTTTTAAAGTCAGCAAAACATAATTTGACCACAGATGCCCAAACGTTTGCCTTCTACTAGACAGTGTCAGAAAACCACAGTGCACTTCTTTATTGTCCCACACACTTAAAAATGATGGTCCTTCAGGGGTTCTTTAGTAAGGAAATGGTTCTATATCGAAACATGAACACTCAAAGAACACTTTGCGTGATTCAAGGGTACATTGCATCATGAAATGGTTCTTCAGATTGATGATGTGCTGTAGATGGTTCTATATCGAACTTTTTTGAAAAGGTTGGTATAGCACCAAAAAGGGTTCTTCTTTTGCTACAATGTCAGGCTTGAACCTGTTTTATTTTTCAGTTATTTTAAAACGGTTTGCAAACTGCTGTTGTCGGAAGAAAACCTTGTATCTCCAAAATGGTAACTTTACAGGAGAAGGAAAAAACCTACTTTAATTTTAATGTAAGTCAATGGAACCAGAATTTTTCCCAAGTCATTTTGGGCCGTTTCTTTTAGTCCATTCATCATGAAATTTACACACAATCTAAAGGGCAACAGATTTTTCAAATGATGTAAAAAACTGGAAAACATCAAAAATGGACATATAAGGTTTCTTCCGACAACAGCGAAACCACAAACATGGCACTACTGAAGTGAGTTAACCACTAGTGATTAAAGCCCACTCCTGCAAAGCCAACTTGCTGGATTGCTTACAACATTAGCCCCCTGAAATGGGCTGATGGCCTGAAATGTCTGCTGCAGAATGGAGAAAAGCAAAGAAAAGATAACAGGCTCAATTTGTCCACATCAGAAAGCCTTTAAATGGGACCAAACATCTTTAAATGGGACCAAAAATGTCTGAGTAACCAATCAGGTCCATGCTCCGCCTCCTAATTTCACCAGCAACACACTCAGGGCAAAACAAACCAGATGCCCCAGAGCGTCATCACACAAACCCTTTGTAAAGGCCAGGTTTCATTTAAACTTATTTTCTTATTAACTAGAGCTAGACTTGGCCTTTACAGCTGTATATTGATCCCTTAATAGTCGCTCAGGATAAAAGCATCTGCCAAATGAATAAACGTCAGTGCAATTGTTTATCGCCCCCTGCTGACAGGATGTTCTGGAGGAGTGGCTGACGTGCCAGCGCTCCTGGCTCTACCTCGAGCCGATCTTCAGCTCAGACGACATCAACAGGCAGCTGCCCCTGGAGGGGAGGAGGTATCAGACCATGGAGCGCACCTGGAGGAAGGTGATGAAGGCCGCTAATGACAACAGACAGGTGAGCTAGGGCTCTGGTTCTAACTGACACCAATTAATTCTAAATTAAAGCATAGATTTGAGTGTAAATGCGCATTCAGTGGAGGGGAGGGGGTCAATGTGTCTTTGAATGTATGTTTCTCACATGTCTGTGTGTTTATTAGCCCCTTTAAACCAAAGGATATCATGAGTGATTCCAGACTTCCACTGTTTATTCTCAGAACTACATAATTTGCATTGGTTAGGTAGTATTTACTGAATAATTTATAGTGCATACATACATGGTACATACTGGATGATAAGCTTTGTGATTAATAAAAGAATAGGCCATACAGCAGAGTGAGGTTCGATTGACCACCTGAGTGCTACATTTGCCTCCCTCTGTAACATGATTAAATCGTAAGTTGCTCTGGATAAAAGCGTCTGACAAACGCCACAAATGTAAACGTTGGTTTGTGTGTGACGTCTCATGGACAGGTGATTGAACTGTGCCCGGACCCTCGTCTGCTGGACAGCCTGCGAGACTGTAACAAGCTACTGGAGCAGGTGCAGAAAGGGCTGAGTGAATACCTGGAGACCAAACGTGGAGCCTTCCCCAGGTCAGCAACCCACTTAATGGGGATTCTGTTACCTATCTATGTATCAGACTTAGCTCACTACCTTATACGGAAATATATATGGTCAGGTAAAGTTTAAAATTAGTACTCAAATTAGACATTCATCACATAATATAGCATATGATCACTGTCGGTTTAAAATCTCTAAAGCTCCAAAATGATAACTTTACATGAGAAGAAAAAAAACATTGATTTTAAAGTATGTTTATGTAACAAGAATTTGAGCCACTTCTATTGGTTCATTCGTCATGAAATGTCCACATAATAAAAATGCAAATTAAAAAACAGCAAAGATGAAGATACAATGTTTTGACAGCAACAATATACAGTAAAATCTTGTAAGAAAAAAGACATTGTGTATCATGCTGCATAATGGCCTGCGTCAAACGGCAATTTAATTTTGTGATTATTTATAAATGTGTTGTATATATAAGAGCACGTCCCTCACAAAGGTATCTACAGCACTCTTTCTGTACTAACTGAATTTTGATATTATGGTTTCTTTCTTGGCTTTAGGTTCTATTTTCTGTCTGATGATGAGCTTTTGGAGATTCTGTCTCAGACCAAAGACCCAACAGCAGTGCAGCCTCACCTGCGCAAATGCTTCGAGAACATCGCCCGGGTCGGTCCACATATGCTCTCATTAATACTCACACAGAGCTCACTTATTCTGGTTTAGAATATCTGTAAACAGTACCTTCACTGTGATATATGACTGCGTGTTTCAGGGATTGGCATTTTAATTTGATATTCGACTTTGTAATATATTATTCACAAAATATTCCAATAATTTAATTACTTTCTTTTTTATTATTCAAACAAATTCCAATTGTCCCCTTAAAAAAGTGACTCTCAGCATCTCTTAATGTGATACTGTATTAAACCCAGACCACAAATTCATAGTGGGTGATATGTAGCTTGAAATTAACAGGTGTCAATCTAAAGTCTTTAAGATAAATGGACAAAAACTAATCAGTTTTGTCCATCATATTTCACCTCATACCTTTTAGCTAGTGCAGAAAACAATATGTTTATGAAGAGTTAGCTGAAAATTTTATTACGTTAAATCTATTTGAGTGCAAAATTAATTTGGGCTTATGGTTTATCTGCACTTTTCTGCGGCGCTTCCTATGTTCTGTCACTGGGCTTTGTACTATCTGCTAAACAGTGCCAGAGACCCAGCTTCTGGTCCAGCGTGCTTTAGCCTTTAGCTGGCTGCAGTAGTCTTTTCTATACTGGAGTAAACAGAAAAGAAACCCTGATTAAAAAATAACATACAGGCTCTTCAGTGGTGGAATAAAGAGTTCAAACATCTCATGGTTCATCCATATGAGAATGTGTAATGTTAGAGAGAAGCTAATTAGCATATACAATTCTAATTTGCTATATAATATTTTAAACTTTAACATTTTTTTTATATTTTTAACTATTTCAATACTCGACCATTCTGACTCTAAACTGTGTTTGTGTTGCATGTCGCACAGCTTCGTTTCCAGCCGGACCTTCAGATCACTCATATGTACTCTGCTGAAGGAGAGGAAGTCAAGCTCTTCCTCCCGGTGTGGCCTTCTGGGAATGTAGAGGACTGGCTGCGTGATGTGGAGAAGTCCATGAAGCTCAGTCTGCGGGACTGCATCGACCGATCCCTCGGGGTATACGCCGAGGTCAGTCTTCCAATGCCATGCCAGCTTTATTACTCATGAAATTCTAAGTGTCAAATCATGTAGCATAAAATGAATCCAAATTCAAAAGCTTTATGCTTCTTTTCTTTTTTTTTTCAAGCTTTTCTCTGTGTACTAGAGCAATTTGAATACATTTGCACCTCCACAGCAAAACTTTTTTCCCATTCTGTGTAGGAACCTCGCACAAAGTGGGTGCTGTCATGGCCGGGGCAGGTTGTGATCGCAGGGTGCCAGACGTTCTGGACCATGGAAGTTTCTCAGGCTCTAGAGAGGGGAGACCTGGCTGAGAGCCTTTACCCTCAGCTCCAGACCCAGGTACAGACCAGACTACTCATTAACCAAATTTTTTTTTCAATGTGGAATAGCAAACAAATGTGCAACAGATTGATTTAGAGTAACCAACAAGAACTTGACTCGCAGCAGAAATTGCTTACAGCAGCGTTTGACCATATGCAACAAGGGTGTCCCCTCATAATTCCACCTAGACAAAAGTTCCTGAGTAAATTTATGTTTCTTGCTGGGAAATAGAATAGGGAAATCCCAGAAAAGGCTGCAACATCCCTCTTGTATGATGTAGGCACTTGATTATGTACAGCATATTTGATGAGACACTGCTGGCAGGCCAGTCCAGCACCCGCACTCTCTGTTCATGCACCCATGCTGTTGTAACACATGCAGAATGTGGCTTAGCATTATTGAAATAATCATGGATGTCCCCGAAAAAGACAGCACACATTGCTCCAAAAATGTGTTCAGTTTATAGGGTTTTCACAGATATGCAAATTACCCACAAATACCACAACAGACCCTTGCTTTCAAACTTTATGCTGGTAACGATCTGGATGGTCTCTTTCTCATTTGGCCTGGAGAACATAATGTCCATTTTTTCCATAGACAATCTGAAAGTTTGACTCGTTACACCACAATACACCTTTTCACTGTGCGTCACACAGATCTATCACAGAAGCATGGTGGTATTTTATGCAGTGGCCTCTGAGGGTTGGAAGGGCATTCAGTCTTGTTTTTCAACCTTGCCCTTTAGATTTCTCCAGATTCACTGAATCTCTTGATGATATTGGTGCACTGTGGAGGGTGAAATGCCTAAAATCCTTGCAATCGCTTAAATAGGAACGTTGTTCTTTAACTGTTGGATTATTAGCTGGCGTATTTTTTGGCAAAGTGACGACCCTTTCTTGGATGCTCCTTCTATACTCCAGCATGATTACATCACCTGTTGAAAATGTTCTTTTTCACTATGTCTAAACACAAGTACATCTAAATAAATGTCTAAATACAAAAACAGTACAAAGTGAATTTACTAATCACTGCTTTCTGTTTTTATTTGTACTTTGCATACTGTCCCAACTTTGTTGGAATAGAGGTTTGTAACATTTCTGAATATTACTTAAAGCTTTGCATGACATCAATTCATTTTAAGAGTATAATATACAGCTGATAGTAAAACATGTGTGCTGAGAAATGTAATGGAGATCGCAGGTTGATATTTTTGACTTTGATGAAGTTGGTTGATGAATCATGTACATGTATGTGTGTTTGTGTGCAGCTGAGTGATCTGGTGCAGCTGGTGCGAGGTCGCCTGTCTAAGATGCAGCGCGCTGTTCTCTCCGCACTCATCGTGATTGAGGTGCATGCTAAGGATGTGGCTGCCAAACTAGTGGACGAGGGCGTGGCCAGTGTTAATGACTTTGAATGGATCAGCCAGCTCAGGTCAGGTGAACCTAACACGCTCTGTAATACACAGACACAGGTTTTTAGTTACAGCTAATATTGAAAATGACTCAGCTTCCTCTCATTTTTCACCAAGAGGTTTTCTGTTATGATTTGACAGGATACAGTATAAGAAATGTCTTTTCAAAGTAACTGGGCACTGTGTTATTTTTGTAGATATTACTGGGCGAGAGATGACTTGTACATCAGGGCGGTGAACGCAGAATTTCTCTATGGTTATGAGTATCTGGGTAACTCCGGTCGGCTCGTCATCACCCCACTGACGGACCGGTAAAGTTATGAAAATAAATCACCATGGCAACCACACATCACAGCCACTTTATCAACATGTATTTCTGCTTAATGTTGTTTATTAAAATGCAGCTCCAAAAGAGACTTTTTAACTTTAATTCCAAGCTTTCATGCTTTCATGTTTTATTTAAATTAAATTCTTAGAAAGACACCAGTGTATTTTATAATAATAATTACAAAATGATCCCTCCGACTCATAATCCATCATCCTTCTCTCCTGCAGGTGTTATCTGACCCTGACGGGTGCTCTGCACCTGAAGTTTGGAGGAGCCCCAGCAGGTCCGGCAGGCACAGGGAAGACCGAGACCACTAAAGACCTGGGAAAAGCACTGGCCATCCAGACGGTCGTCTTCAACTGCTCGGATCAGCTCGACTTCCTCGCTATGGGAAAGTTTCTCAAGGGTCTGGCTAGGTGAGACACACATTGGGCATTTGAGACATTGATTTACTTCCTATGCTGCATCTTCCTCTATGTAGTCTCACGTCAATTCCTCACTCTCATAACTGCACACAGTGAAATAATGGTTCATGATTTGATTGTGTCAAGCGGGTGCACATAAACAAAATATAGCAACACAATCTTTAAGTTTGCTTCTTTTACTGACTTTGACTGCGTTGACAATCTGTTGTAGTCTAAAAATACTAGAATGTGTTTTGTTTTTTAAACAATCACCCCTACTGATCACCCATCAGTGTGGAGATGTACTGTGCTGTGCTGGTGATTGTCAGCAAATAAGTGTTGATGTCGCGTGTAGACGTACTGTATATATATATATATGCATGTGTGTATGTGTGTTTGTGTGTGTGTGTGCTTGCAGTTCTGGAGCATGGGCATGTTTTGATGAATTTAACCGCATTGATGTGGAGGTGCTCTCTGTGGTGGCTCAACAGATTACTACCATTCAGAAAGCCCAGCAACAACGAGTGAGTTAGCACATACACATTCACTAATGGAAAACATTCACAACTATTTAAATGACAAATTGTAATACTGCAGTGTTTAATTGTAATAGAGAAGCGTCAAATTGTAATAGTGAAGCGTGTTAAACTCTAATAATGAGTAGTTAAGAACTGAACTGTAATAATGAAGTGTTAAAGTGTAATAGTGAGTAGTGAAGTGTCAAATTGAAATATTGGAGTATAAAATTATAATGATAAATAGCGAAGAGTCAAATTGTAGTAGTGAAGTGTTAAGCTGTAATTGTGAATAGTGAAGAGTCAAATTGTAATAGTGAGTAGTGAAGAGTCAAACTAACAGTGAAGTGTTAAACTGTCATAGTGAATAGTGAAGAGTCACATCGTAATAGTGAGGTGCTAAACTGTAATAGTGAGTAGTGAGGAGTCAAACTGTAACAGTGAAGTTTTAAACTAATAGTGAGTAGTGAAGAGTCAAACTGTAACAGTGAGGTGTTAAACTGTCATAGTGAATAGTGAAGAGTCACATTGTAATAGTGAAGTGCTACACTGTAATAGTGAGTAGTGAGGAGTCAAGCTGTAACAGTGAAGTGTTAAACTGTGATAGTGAATAGTGAGGAGTCAAACTGTAACAGTGAAGTTTTAAACTAATAGTGAGTAGTGAAGAGTCACATGGTAATAGTGAAGTGCTAAACTGTAATAGTGAGTAGTGAGGAGTCAAGCTGTAACAGTGAAGTGTTAAACTGTGATAGTGAATAATGAAGAGTCACATTGTAATAGTGAAGTGTTAAACTGTAATAGTGAGTAGTTAATAGTCAAACTGCAATAGTAAAGTGTAATAGTGAGTAGTGACGAGTAAAGTTGAAATATGCGAGTGTTAAATTATAATAAATAGTGAAGAGTCAAATTGTAATAGTGAAGTGTTAAACTGTAATAGTGAGTAGTGAAGAGTCAAATTGTAATAGTGAGGTGTTAATCTGTAAAAGTGAGTAGTGAAGAGTCTATTGAACACCTCTTCCTTCTGTGCTGTAGACTGGGGTTCAATCCCTGCCTGGGTAAGCACCCTACACTATACTAATAAGAGTCCTTGGGCAAGACTCCTAACACTATCTTCGCCTGCCTGTGTAAAAATAATCAAATCGTAAGTCGCTCTGGATAAGTGCGTCTGCTAAATGCCATAAATGTAAATGAAGAGTCAGATTGTAATAGTGAAGTGGTGTGTGTGTGTTTAGGCAGAGAGGTTTGTGTTCGAAGGAGCAGAGATCCCACTGGTTCCTTCTTGTGCTGTTTTCATCACTATGAACCCAGGCTACGCTGGCCGAACTGAGCTGCCTGACAACTTAAAGGTGAGCTTCCACCATGAGCCCAGAACAGCTATATTTATATTTAATCGATTTAAACTATTCAGATTACTTAATTGCTTATTTGCTTATTCGGTGAACTGAGCTAAGCTATTGTGCTATTAGATTAATTGCAAGAGCATCAGGAGCAGAGGTGGGTGGTAACCAGTTACATTTATTCAAGTACATGTACTTTTACAAAATAGTGATGGATTTATTCTCTCCTGAGTGTTTTCAAATCACTAATACTTCTTCTTTTACTAAGTTTATTAGTGAATTCAAGAATCTACCTTTTACTCTTTTTATGCTTTATGTTTAGCTATTCATATTTCTTTACAAATTTCTTTTTTTGTGTTTAATTTTGTTATGTTTTGTTGGTGATGACATCTTTAGTGTTTTGCGGTTGGTCACACGTGACTTTGGAGTTTTACAATTTTCTTTTAGACCAAAATCAGAAAAATAGAGGCTAACAATTTCAGTTCAAATGCTGTCAGATGCTGGATGTACTCAGATATTCCACTGCAGTTCTATAAGTTACTCAGTACTTAATTAGTTTTTTGACCTAATACTTTTGTGCTATTGCTCGGGTTGTTCATTGGGAATTTACTTTTACTTGAGTGTTTGTATTACTCAAATATTAATATATTTACTTGAGTTCAGGATTAGGCTACTCTACTCATCTCTGATCCAGATTTAGCACCATTTCAGTCAATGCATTGTTAACACTATGGTGCATTATTATCATTAAGCCCTGTCTTTCAGGCTCTGTTCCGCCCTGTTGCCATGATGGTCCCAGACTACGCCATGATCGCTGAGATTTCTCTGTACTCGTTTGGGTTCAGCGATGCCAAAGTGCTTTCCAAAAAGATCACCAGCACCTTCAAGCTGTCCTCTGAGCAGCTCAGCTCCCAGGTTAGATCTTCTCGATTTACTCCATGATGCACATAGAGTTAAAACCAGCAATGCAAGCACTAGATATTACTCCTTTAATGTGATGTGTACATGCATTGCTCTCTGTGTCGGGCAGGATCACTATGACTTTGGCATGAGAGCTGTGAAAACTGTGATTTCTGCTGCAGGAAACCTAAAGAGGGAGAACCCTGACATGAACGAGGTGAGTATGAATTTAATTTATGCCACACAAATAAGTAAATTGCAATTTATTTAAAGGGGAAATTCCACAATGATAAAAATGTCTGCATAATTCAGCTGCTGGGATGTCACAGTCATTCAGAGTGGTTTGTTGCGAAATGGTCCATTTTAGAGAAAATTATTTACTCAGATTTCTTTACAGTGGTGGTAATAGAAACCAGGGGTTGTGATGTATACAACACAAATACAGCTGTTTTATTTGCTATCCAAAACCACCAGAGAATCTGCATTGCTCGGTTTTGGTATGTAATGTGTATTTTGCCTTACAGTGACTGCATGTAGGTCTCCACAATGACTGGATTTTAAAAATACATTTTGGGGGAAATGGTTACCTCAAAAGTATTGTAAAACAAGTTTTCAGTATTTGCCCATCTGTGCATTACTAATTCATGTAGTACCTCTCTGTCCTGTAGCCTTTGGAGGCATTAAACTCTTCCTGTCACCACCACTGTGAACAATTGTGACTCTGTAAGTTTCTCTAGAACAGAGCATCTCACGTCAAGCCACTCTGAATTACTTTGTTTACATCTTCAGCATTTAACTGTGCCGAAATTCAGTGGAATTCCCCTTTAATATTGACATGCTTTCAGTTTGTAAATCTGATCTGCTTGGTTAATTTTTTAGTTGACAATGATATTAAGCTTTTCTGCTCACTTTTGGGCTCCCTTAGCCCTTTAAGATCTATGAGCATCTGTTTCTGCTTTTAATCTACTCTTCTCCAATAATAACTTTGATATGTAATCTTACAAAGCCAATAATTTGTAGATTTTTATGTTGTTTGCATCACAAACTACCTTTTTTGAGCAGGGAAACACATAAATAAAAAATCTGCGTCATACACATCAGTGACTTTTTATTGCTAGTCCAATTAAACAAATCAACAATAAGAGCTTATCCGAACTGCATTCTGAATGTGCTGTAATACAAACTCCAGCTCCCTCAGGACAATAGTGATGACAATAAAGACAGCAGGGAGCTTCTTTTGTATATTGATAGGAAATACAATAGCACACAAAACGCTCCAGTACCTACGATGGCGTTTTAGGGCCACTGTTAATAAAATGAAAATAGTAGACTTTGAGAATAAAGTCAGAAACTTTCAAGAAAAAAGTCGTAGTATTTCAAGGATAAATTGGGCTAACTGTAGGGGGGCTGCCATAACGCGTTGGGGTCTTAGTTGCTGTACTGGTGCGCTGGAGTTCCACTCACTCCTGTCTCTTTGTGGATCGATCATTTTGATTATCATTCTCACTGTCTGTGAAACTTCAGCCCTCTTTGAATGGCGCAGAGGTGTAGCCACTGATAGCCGTGCAGACGACTCTGCCTGCGATTCTCCTTCAACAAAACAGACAGACAGTTTCCTCCAAGTCTCTGGTTCTTTATTCTAAATAAACAGTTTCCTGCACAGCCATTTCCACCATTTCTTTTTGGGTGAAATCAGTATGAAAGTATAGCTCCACCAACTCCTCACCGCCCCTCATTGAACACAAGGAGGTGCTGTATTCACTTTGCAAAGCCTTAGGTCACAATATTGCGACTTTTCCTGGTATTAATGCAACTTTAATGTCGTAATTCTACAACTTTTTTCTTGAAATAGTACGACTTTTCTGTCGAAATATATTATGACTTTATTCTTGAAATATCATACTGTATGACTTTATTCTCAAAAATATTACGCCTTTTTTCTCTAAATATTACATCTTTATTCTCGAAGTCTACTATTTTTATTTTTATTAACAGTGACCCTAAAATGCCATCGTAAGTACCACATTAGGCTTTAATCACGCCTGAAATATTGGTCCGAATCTGAATACAGCCCGAGAATTTTGTGTCAACATTTAGTCCAAACCTGACTCAGTGAGAACCGAAACTGACCTGAGCTTAAGGAAATTCAGTCCGAAAATAACCCAGACAAGCCTGTCATCACCTGGAGTGCTGAATAAAGCCTGATGTTTCTAGTAATAATGCTTATTAAATTGCTGTGTAGCGACAATAATAGCATTGTTAGATCTTAAATAAATAAAATAAAAATAAATAGGTAAAATAATGACATAATATGAAAATGTATGAGTATAACCACATTCCACTTCAGCAAATTTATTCATCAGGCAATGCTTTCGCATAACAAGGCAAATACCCCTTTAAAACAGGTATTTCCTTCTCCAGGAGCTGATCTGTCTGCGTGCTATCAGAGATGTAAACGTGCCCAAGTTCCTGCAGGATGACCTCAAGCTCTTCAACGGCATAGTGTCTGACCTCTTCCCCAAAATCCGTGAGGAGCCCATCGACTACGGCACTCTAGAGGAGTCAATCCGCAACGTCTGCAGGGATAAATGCCTCAAAGATGTGGACGGTGAGATCAGGATGTTGTCTGGTTTCAAAGAGAAGCTTCAGTTAGAACTTGCTGACAGTGGTAGAGCTGTTTATGCTGTTTATGCTGCAGCAACAACTGATGCCCTTAAACGACAGCATGTGATATGTGCTAATAGTTGCAATATGCTCTCTGTGTTTTGTTGCTTTTTCCCAGGCTACATAACAAAGATTATTCAGCTGTATGAGACCACAGTGGTGAGGCACGGTCTGATGCTGGTGGGGCCGTCTGGCTCAGGTAAAACGAAGGTGAGGACAAATACAATCATACAAACACTGTCATTCTTGGAGCTTCCCGTAAGTATTCAAATTCAAATGTGAATATTTTAAAATAAAATATTTAACTACCACTACATCTGTTAAAACATGCTACTTTGCATCCCATAGTTGTGCTACATTAGTCTATAGAGTGAGATCTTTCATTGTAAAGCCTGGGAAAAACTGCTTCTGATGATGCAGCTTGAAGGTAGTATAGGTATAACTTTAATAACTATAGGTCATTGTTAGAATCACTGTTTTCTTTGTGATTTTGTTTTATGACTGAGGTAAAAGTTACACCAGTGCTAGCTTGGTTGTGTTAATTAGCCTAAAGATCAGTAGATAGGTTAGCATAGGTTAGCATGCTGGGTATTGTAGTGAGAGAACATTGAAGAATGAAAACGAGAAAACGATATAAAATTTTGAATTCTGTTAAAACTGATGAGGCTGAGGGTTGAGTATGCAATGCTGTGCTACAGAATACTGCAACACAGCACATAAAATATTAAATGCTAGTTTTAGTCCGGAATACACCGTTATCATGAAAGCAATGAACAGCTACTAACTAATAGCTTTTAAAAACTTATCAAATCAGCATCGGTTGATACTTAAGGCTTCTGTATCGATATTAAACTATAAAAAGTGACGTTGTGCCAATTTTTAATTGTCCATTTTGAAGGGGTGCCCTAACATAGTGTTCTATTGCAGTGATTTTTAAATCTGTGTAGTGTTAATATTGTTTATACACTCTTATTACACATTATGGTAAGTATAATAGTGTTCTATATAGTAGTAATGATATCTTAATAGGTAATAGTGATTAGGAGACCACCTCTGTTCTTTATAATAGTGTGCTATGTAGTGTTCCAGTGTAGGGAATAGTGATTAGGGGACAATTTCTGTTCTCTATAATAGTGTTCTATATAGTGTTCCAGTGTAGGAAATAGTGATAAGGGGACCACTTCTGTTCTCTATAATAGTGTGCTATACAGTGTTCCAGTGTAGGGAATAGTGATGAGGTGACCATTTCTGTTCCCTACAATAGTGTTCTGTATTGTGCTTCTGATTTGCCAGTGCAAGGAATAGTGATTAGGGACCATTTCTGTTTACCATAATTGTGTTCTAGACAGTGGTCCAGTGTAGAGAACAGTGATTAGAGACCATTTCAGTTCCCTGTAATCATTAATCATGTTCTAAATAGTAGTCCAGTGTAGGACATAGTGATTAGGGGACCATTTTGTTTCCTTATAATATATAGTGCTTTATATAGTGCTCCAATGTAGGGAATAGTGATTAGGGGATCATTTCTTTTTACTATTCTCTATCTCTATTCTCTCCATGGCTGAGTCTGATTGTTGTTCTTATCTGTTTGCAAAATTCATATTTATCTTGCTCATATTTTTCTTTACTTTCAAAGAAAAAGACATGCTTATTACCTTTACAGGGGTCTCTTTTGCTTGGACAGTGAGGTGCTAACATCATATTACTGTGTCTTGTCTATAAACCGAGCACTGACCACACTGTTCAGTGCCAGCATTAAGTGGTCACTAACCCCTAACTAAGCTTCATGTCTTTTGTCTGTGTCTGTCAGTGTTATGAGGTGCTGGCAGCAGCCATGACAGCTCTGCAGGGTCAGCCCTCGGTCAGCGGTGGAGTGTATGAGGCTGTACAGACCTACGTCCTCAATCCTAAGTCCATCACCATGGGGCAGCTCTATGGAGAGTTTGACCTGCTGACCCACGAATGGTGAGTGGATCTGGTGAGCTTTTCACATAGAATCTTAACTGCAGACAGGAGTGAAGATATGGTGATGTAACACTGATGTGTTATTATTTTGGGTAAAAATACACTGCCCATCAATAGTTTGCACTGAATCTTGTATTCTATTCACGTTTTCTATGTGGTAGTTGTCTAGTAATTAGTTTTGATTATATGTTCAAATGTCCTCATTCATACACAGTATAACAATGATACCAAAATACCAATAATATACCAATAAAAGTACCTTTGCATGGCTCTTTATGCTACCTTGCCTCCATGGATAAAAGCATCTGCTAAAAACCTAAATGTAATGTTTACAGAGATATATTATTTAGTACACAGTCCATCTTCTGTGAATAGTGAAAGCTTTCACATTGGTGATCACACTGAAGTAACTAAACATTGTCATGTCAGATAGCTTACATAAGAATATAGTAAAACTTTTATTTTTCTGTTTTTCGCATTAAACAGTACAGCACACAGAATATATTTTGACTCTCCTGGTTATAAAAATGATGGCGCTGTCATATGAGGATTTCACATGAGACAGATGAATAGCTGTGCTTCAGCTACACAGTGGTGTATAGTACCCCTTAGATGGCTGCAGTAGTCTGTTGCCTTCATTGGACTAAACAGACGTCTACATCTATACAATAGTAAGTGCCCCAAACTGTTGCCACAAGGTTGGAAGTATATAATTGTTTAAAATGTCTTTGTATGCTGTGGCATTAACATTACCCTTCTTTGGAACTAAGTGGCTGAGCCAAACCCTGAAAAAAAGCCCCAGATGATTATCCCTCCTCCACCAAACTTTACTGTTGGCAAGATGCATTTTGTTTCTCCTGGCATCCTCCAAACCCAGATTCATTTAGAAAGTGAAGTGCGATTCATCACTCCAGAGTACACATTTCCTCTGCTCCAGAGTCCAGTGGCAGTGCTTTACACCACTCCAGCCGACACTTGGCATTGGTCATAGTGATCTTAGGCTCATGTTTAGCTGTTCGGCCATGGAAACCCATTTCCTGGAGCTCCTGATGCACAGTTATTGCACTGATGATGCTTCCAGAGGCAGTTTGGAACTCTGTAGTGAAAGATGCGACAGAGGATGGATGCTTTAGCACTGGGGGGGCCCCGTTTTTTAAGTTTGCGTGGTGCACCGCTTTGTGGCTGAGCTGTTGTTGCTCCTAGAAGATTCCATTTCACAATAGTAGCACTTACAGCTGACCAGGGCAGATCTAGCAAGGCAGAAATTTCACAAACTGGCTGGTAGCAGAGGTGAAGTCTATTGACAGTGCCACGATTGAAGTCACTGAGATTTTCAGTACGACCAATTCTACTGCTAATGTTTGTCTGTGGAGATTGCATGACTATGTGCTTGATTATATTCACCTCTTAGTAATGGGTGTAGCTGAAACACCTGAACTCAATAATCAGGAGAGTTGTCTGCGTACTTTTGGCCATATAGTGTATCTTATAGTTCCATAAATGTTTTGCACTACAACCAGTATATAATTTATACAAGAAAATCTAGTATCATGATTAAATTGCTGTTTCTGCCTCTGGCTCTGGCTGTGTGAGCAGGACAGACGGTATTCTGTCGTCTCTAATCCGTGTTGGAGCCGCTGCGATGGACGAGGAGAAGAAGTGGTACGTGTTTGACGGGCCTGTGGACGCTGTGTGGATCGAGAACATGAACACGGTGCTGGATGACAATAAAAAGCTGTGTTTGAGTTCAGGGGAGATCATCAAACTCAGCGATGTGAGTTCACACTGCTTAACCTTTGTCTTTGTTTGTGTGCGTGAGTGTGCTTATTATCCTCAGGCTGTGTCCCTGTCCACAGGTGATGACTCTGATGTTTGAGGTGCAGGACCTGGCCGTGGCCTCCCCTGCCACAGTGTCCCGCTGTGGGATGGTGTATTTGGAGCCCAGTATTCTGGGTCTCTCTCCGTTCACTGAGTGCTGGTTACGCACCATTCCCACCCCACTGCAGCCATATGCTCAGCAGCTGGACTCACTATTTACCCGATTCCTACAGGTCAGCATGAATGTTTTAATGCACTGACGAATGGTTTCACACCCAGAGACTAAACATAGTGGGTGGGGCCCAGGCTTATGTGTTTTGTTTCAATAATCATATGTCTCAAATAGAACAAAAAAACACATCAAGTATATGTATATTCAGTTAAAACAGCCTTAAGTACCAGAAATGAATTTTTCAGGAGATCTTTCTGAGAAGATTAGATATAAGATCTACTAAAACCTACTTGGAAGGAGAAACTCAATGCAAAAAAAGTGAAAAAAGCAGAGTTTCCAAAACTGGAGTTCAAAGAATCATTAAAAGATGTAAAGAAAATGGGACTCCTAACAACCACCTGCAAGACCTAGTAGACCACCAAAACTGTCCCCATCAGATAAACAGCACTTTCATCTTTGAGAGAGAGGAGAAAATCAAGCTGCTTCAGATCTGAAAACATCCACAGGTGTTTCTGTCCATCCTTCCACTGTGAGAAGACAACTCAGCACTATGGGTCTGAAAGGATAAGAAGCCCTTACTGAGAAAAGGAAATAGACAAAAAAAGAAGAAATCGAACAAAGAAGCTGCTGGTGTTCTCAGAACGATGGTTTGACCACCCCAGAGTCCAGACCTCAACATTATTGAATGTGTAATTATTTGGATTGTGAGATGCAGAAAGTGCAACCAACTTCTAAGACTGAACTGTGGAGGTGTGGAAAAATATCCCTTTGAAAAACTGAAAGCGAGTCTCCTGAAAAGAATAGAAACTGTAATAAAGCCAAAAAGTGGACACACTAAATACGGAAACATTTGATATTATATTTAGTTGTTGAGGCTTCTATGTAATTTTCTGTATGAATGCGTGTTTCAGCTTTTTTCCTGTTTTAGCTGTTTTGACTGGAAATTAAAATAAATGAAAGGGGGTCTCTGACTTCTGGACAGTGCTGTATGTGAGTGTGTGTATGTGTGTCCACAGGACTCTATCACGTTTGTGCGAAAGTCAGTGACAGAAGTGATCACATCTATGGACAGTAACCTGACCTGCTCTCTGCTAAAGTTGCTGGACTGCTTCTTCCAGCCCTTTATTCCACGAGAGGTCAGACACAGCAGGACATCACAAATCACACAGATTGTGATTTGAATTCTTTTATTTTTTAAATAAAACTATTTAGCACTTGATTTTGATAGGTTATTATGTGTCTCTATACCTATGTGTGTTACATATTGATACATGTGTGTATCAATAGTTATGTATGTATATATGTGTGTAGGGAGAAAGACCTCCTCTCCAGGAGAAGCTGGATCGCGTGTGTGAGCTCATTGAGCCGTGGTTTATCTTCTCTCTTGTATGGAGTGTGGGGAGCACTGGAGATGCCGCCAGCCGCCAGCGCTTCAGCACCTGGTTCAGGGCTAAGATGGCCCAGGAGAAGGTACTCAACCCGAGCAGTTCATTTTAAGCATTTTAAAGGGAAATTCCATATAATCTTCGTTTTTTGTATAGTCAAATTGTTAAGGTGTTAACAATGCTACTCAGAGTAGTTTGATGTGCCGTGATGGTGATAGGAACCAGACGTCTGAAATATTTAAACCCTCTAAAACTTGTAGTGGGGAGGGACATACAGAGTGTGATCAATATCCAAATAATTTTTTTTCTAGTTTGATGCTTTTGGATAGTAAATAAATGTCTATATTTGCATTGTAGACATTGTGGACCCTGGTTCCAATTTCTATAAACACTATAAAGAAATCAAAGTCTGTATGTTTGTCTACAGTAAACAATTTTGCATCAAACCACTCTGAATGACTTTGTTTGCATCTCTGTAATTAAATTATGCAGGAATTTTGAAAAAATCACTGGAATTCCCCTTTAAAATTGTCTCCAGCAAAACGTTCACAACACACAAATCACCAGCCCTAACTGAGCTCTTCATTTGAGAAGTACCAGTAATTCTGAGACTTTTACAACTGATCTAGAGTGTGTACTATTCACTTCCTGGATCATACATCCCATATAGGAAAATAAAGCAGAAAAACAGCCGGTTTTAAATGAATTGGTTTTGTGATGTCACAGAATTTGGTGCATTTACATTTATCAACCCATTCAGCCTACAGTGGTTTAGCCCCACCTGTTAATGCTAAAGTTATAAGAAGTGCTTCGTCCTGTACTGCTTTCAGAATAAGGCACAATGCAGGGGAGCCAACCACAAGTTAGGTCATTTACATAATCAGTCTTAAAGGCACAGTAACATAAAACATCATCTTTCACTGGAAGGAATAAAGAGACGTTGGAAAATGATCATGTTAAAATGAATTAGAACTGTTTTTGGTACACATATGTCATGAAAGGACCTCAGGGAATGAAATAAAATACAAGAGAAATGCAGGATAGGCCCTTTAATGGGGAATGATCCTAATAAAAGTCAGTGTGAAACCCAGTCAGCTTACTGCGGTTGTCATTCTGTGATAAATTAGATTAAATGGCTTTTTTCTCAGATAGACTTTAAAACGAATGGTACCTGAAAGCACACAGGCACTTCTTATTTTTTAGTACCTGTCTTCAGAGAGGGTCAGTAGGGTCCTTTAAGGCTGTAGTAATGTTGCTGTTTTTGTTGTGCAGATACAGCTGTGTTTCCCAGAGGAGGGGCTGGTTTATGATTATCAGCTGGATGATGGAGGCATCAGTAACCTGAGTGAGGATGAGGAGGATGCCAAAGGGAGGAAGGTGCAGACTACTGTTGTATAAATGGGTTTGAGACATAAATAAATATTTAGACAAATGTTTTGACATAATTTAGCTTTATTTGATTTGATTGGTTTGTTAATTCACCTTTTAAATTTCAGGGTAGGTTGGTTAATCCAGTTAATCTGACTTGTTATACAGTAGCTGCTATGAATTGTTTGGTAACTACTATGAAACTTATGTCTTATGTGGTTATGAGGGTGAGAAGCTGAAATGTGGGACACATACATGCCTTATAGTTTAAGGGAAGTTACACCTTTTTATTTCTTAGTAATGTAATGGTTGAGATGTAAACATAGTCATTCAGAGTGGTTTGATGCTCATTGTAGAAAAACTTACTGAGTCCAATTTCTTTACAGTGGTGGTGATAGGAACCAGGGGTCACGATGTTTACAATGCAAATATAGCCATTTTATTTACTTTTCAAAACCACCATTGTGAACAAAGTTTCTCTAGAATAGTGCAGTTCACATCAAGCCACTCTGAATGATTTCGTCTACGTCTTGCCAGTTTATTGTGCCGGAATTTTGAAAAATTGGTGAAAGTCCCCTTTAATCAGTCATTCTGCTCATTTGTTGATTAATTCACTGACATTTACTGTATTGTTTAGGTGCAATGGGTCAACTGGATGAAATATGCTGTGGATGTTGTCATCACCCCAGAAACCAATTATTCTGACATCATCGTGCCCACTGCGGACACTGTGCGCATGTCCTTCTTGATGGACATGCTTCTGTCCAATAAGAAGCCGGTATATAGTCCCATTTTGTACAAATATCTGCACGTTTTTGGGGCATTTTGTCTGAGATGTTGTATGCAGATCAGTTTCTCCATCAATAATTAAAAAGAATTCTCAGGTTAAAAATTGTAAATAGTATTAATAATAGTATTTGATATGGCTAAATAAATAAAGGCCATAGTAGAAATAAATAAAGGCCACTGTAAAGTTACCTTTTTGGAGAATTGAGGTTCTGTTTAGACAGGGACAGTACGTACTTATTTAGATTGGCCTAAAACATGATCCTACAACAATTTCTATTGTGCTTATCTTTCTATCTAAACTGATTGGTGTTTCAGGTGCTGTGTGTTGGGCCGACAGGCACCGGGAAGACCCTCACTGTGTCTGACAAGCTGCTGAAGAACATGCCAGCCGAGTACATCACACATTTCCTCATGTTCTCCGCTCGCACCTCTGCTAACCAGACACAGGATTACATCGACAGCAAGCTGGACAAGAGGTAGGCTGGGTTTGCCTTAATTGTGACCACAGCCTTTTCGAACTTATTGTTATTGTTGTTTTCTGACTGGTTCCATTTATAAATCACATATTTTCCCTTTTCCCCAGATGTCCATCTCCATATGTTGCCTCTGTTATGATCTGAAACATGGCTTTTTGTCCATTTATTGTTGTCATGATGGTACTGGTCATAACTATTATGTTTGTGTGTACCAGGCGTAAGGGCGTGTTTGGTCCTCCGTTGGGGAAATACTTTATTTTCTTCATCGATGACCTGAACATGCCTATGCTGGAGACGTACGGAGCCCAGCCACCAATCGAGCTCCTGCGCCAGTGGATGGACCACGGCGGCTGGTACGACAGAAAGCAAATAGGTGGGTATCCTGTGGCATTGTGGAAAGAAACTCTAACTTACACATATATATACATTCCTTATATATGGGTGATATGGCAAAAAAATTGTGATACTTAAAGATATTTTCACAATACATGATACACAATTCACTATTAAAGCCACATTTAAAAACTGACAATAAAAGATTGATGTATTGCCCAAATTTAAATTTATATTTAATTTCACATATGTATACAGTCACACAAATGCTGCATATGCACATTCACTCACACTAAACCCCTTAAATGGCCAAGACCCACTACACACTTCTATAACACAAGAATAACTCAGCCAGTTTGCACTGTAGAGCATGTAGTTACTAGGTAATAAGCTTTAGTTTGTAATAAGCCTGGGATTGTAAGGAGTTAAAGTACCCATATAATGGAAATTATTCCTTGCATTTTTGAAATAAGAGTTTGATTTACTATGTAACCATACATAGTTCCAATATGGACTCACCCCTGTCCATGCAGTCCATATATGTAAACTAAGCTGCAAAAACATTCTATTTTAAATTCATCATGGCTGTGATGTCACCACCATCATGATAATTTTTTAAAAACAATGAATGGGTGTGTTTCACAACCAAAAACACCCCTCCACACAAGTTTTTTTTCTGACAGTCCTGTGGATTTCGGTCCGAACTTAACAGTTTGTTCCATAATCTGTTTTTGAATGAGGCACTGTGTAGGTCAGCCAGTCAAAACAGAGGTCATTTACATGTATCAGTTTTAAAGGCACAATAACAAAATCAACTTGTTTGATTCTAAGGGATGAAGAGAAGATAGAAAATGGTTATAAAAATTAAAAATGAAATAAAATGCAAGACAAGTGTAAAACATAGGCCTTTTAACTTTTAACATCAAGCTAGATATGGTCTATTTTATCATGCTGTTAAGATCAAGTCATTCTTAGAAAATGTGTTCATTTAGTTTAAGCAGATGAATTGACTGAGAACACATTCTCTATTGCTGGGAAGTTAGAGGAGTCAGACTAGTGTGAGTATCTCTGTTCTCCAGGAACATTTAAGCAGTTGGTGGACATCAATTTTGCATGTGCCATGGGCCCCCCCGGCGGTGGCAGGAACCCCATCACCCAGCGCTTCGCACGCCACTTCAACTTCCTCTCCTTCACTGAGATGGAGGACTCCAGCAAGAGGAGAATCTTCTCCACCATCCTGGGCAATTGGATGGGTGAGTTAAGGGCATAATTAGAGCATCAAAGGTAAGGGGGGGGTGCCATAGTCTATTTCATTGCCTTTTCTGGGGCACATGATAATGTACAGTGCAGCACTCCAGTGCCTTATTCAACTCACTTATTCCACTCCCTTTAAATGTATTTGGAGTGATAACAACACAAGCATGGGTGGCACATAAAGGCATTCACTTTGTTTACTGGTTACTCACCTCAGATCTGCAAGGTTGTTTCATGGATTTCAATGGAAAACAAAACTTTCATTTAACTTAAGCAATCACGTAAAATTTAAGCTATGTTCATGTTTCAGTTGTTAAATGTTGTTTTGCTTTCTTTTTTTGGCAGATGGCAACATGAGTAAAAAGGAGCCAGGCAGTAAGTTAGAGCACAGGGAGAGAGATGAGACCCAGTGCCAGAACTAAATCATGAGTGGGACTTCAGAAAACAGCTGGGGGGTGGGGGGTGTTCTTTACACATGCCAATAAAATAAATAAATAAATAAAAAAATAAATAAAAAAAGTTAAATACAGGGTAAGAAATATATGGTAGGTCTGTCCAACATTCAGGAGAGAGTTAATATTTACAACAATTCACCAAAGATTTACCCAATTCTGCTGATTTATCTTCCCGCAGCATGCAGCACATCCCTACAGTACAGCCAATGCAGAGTGATGCACTACATGTTAATCCACATAGCCTTAATCCCAAGCGTGAGCTGCTACTGCTTGTTTAGTTTCCATTTGTTTTTTGCAGCCCGCCACTGTAGAAGCACGCACAAACTAGTGGGTTTAGTGGGACATGATGATTAGTCGGTGGTGCATTACCCCACTGAGTGATCCCCTGACACTGGGCGTGGATGACAGTATATAAAAAAGACAGAGAAAGAGAGAGAGAGAGCGAGAGAGAGAGAGGAAGGGAGTAAGAGGGGGAGAATGCTGTAATTTCACCAGATGTATATGATATATAAAGGGCAATACCACAGATTTTTCAAAATTTCTGCATAGGTCAATGAGTTGAAATGTAAACAAAGTCACTTAGAGTGTTTTGATGTGAAATGGTTAATTGTATAGAAACGTACTGACTTTTATTTACCATCCAGAGCAACGAGTAAACCTACACATGTCTTCTGAATTTATATGTGTAGCGAAAAATCTGAAAAAAAAACAAGTTTTCTTTAGGGACCGTTTCTCCTTACAGCATCCTGCATGTATGTCTCTGCCATGAGTGGACCTAAAAGTTGATTTTAGGCCAAAATCTCCTAAATCTGCCATCAAACAATATCTCAGGCATGAGGCAGCACATTCATAACCATGTTATGTAGTCACTTTCTGTAAGACAGCTTTTTTAGAGGTTTTAAACTCCTCATACGTCACCACCACTGTGAACAGTTCTGATTTTGTAAGTTTCTAGCATTTGACTCATTTTACTCTGAATGACTTGTTCACATCTTAATCATTTCATTATGGGATTCCTCCTCAGCATCTGGTTGTTGAATGACATGAGATCGTAACTCAATGCTGGGTGCATATATTAGCAGTTTTGACTTTTTCAGATTAATGAACCAGAAATGTTAACACTCTCTTTCTGCCATCTTTTTTCCAGAAAAGGTTCCTCATCTGCTTCCACTGAACGAGCCGCTGGTGGATGCCACCATTAAAGTTTACTCCACCATCACCAGTGGTCTCCTGCCCACCCCTGCCAAGTCCCACTACACTTTTAACCTGCGCGACCTCTCGAAGGTCTTCCAGGGCCTGCTAATGGCCGAGGCAGGGAAGATAGAGGTTTGTAACAAAGACAGAAGGGTATTGAAAGATACATTGCATATGGCTTATACATTTACAGTGATAAGCATTCATGAGCATTGATAAGCATAGCTGCCTGTGTGGGTCCCACAGGATAAAGTCCAGCTGCTGCAGCTGTGGTACCACGAGAGCTGCCGTGTGTTCCAGGACCGGCTGGTCAGTGCGGAGGACAGAGACTGGTTCGACCAGCTCCTCCAGCAATGCCTCCAGGAGTTTGGCTGCAGCTTCCAGGAGGTGGTGCCCCACCAGCCGCTCCTCTTTGGAGACTTCATGGTCCCTGGAACTGACAGCAAAGCCTACCAGCTTATTGAGGACAGAGAGAAGGTGGAGTGGCTTCTCTGCCTTCTTTATCTAAACATCTGCTCTTCTTCTTTGCATGATCAAAGGGTTCTTTGCATCGTGAAAGGGTTCTTCAGATTGATGGAGAATGTTATGATGAAATAAGTTATTTATTCTGGAATGCGGTGTTTTCTTTTCTCCAAACATAATGCTTCTCATTTTAATCAAAAAGATGTATTTTGGTCTCATCCGTTCACAAAACATTTTTCAAATAGCCTTTTAAAATAATAATAATAATAATAATAATAATAATGGAAGAAGTATTAGTACTGAAGGAAAGAAAAAAAAAAAATACAGGCTAAAATATGATGTGTATGCACTGCTGTGAGTAGCCCCGTAAAGGCTGACTCTTTTTCCCCCATCTCTCTCTCTCTCTCTCTCTCTCTCTCTCCTGCAGCTGGCGCGGGTGATGGAGGAGTATATGGAGGATTATAATCAGGTCAGCACCACTAAGATGAAGCTGGTGCTCTTCATGGACGCCATCCAGCACGTGTGTCGAATCAGCCGGATCCTGCGGCAGCCGCTGGGGAACGCTCTTCTGCTGGGGGTTGGTGGCAGCGGACGCCAGTCCCTCACCAAACTCGCCACACACATGTAAGACACACACACCTCTCTCAGCTCTGGGCTGTTTAAATGGTTGTGATATGGAGTCTCCGCAGTGTTGCAGCTATCTAATCGTTGGCCTTATCGTCAAGATATCTTGAGTTTGTCCCATATAGCTGGTTCCCATCTGCATTAGTCCTGAATTAAAATGACTGAGACTTTATTTAGGTTGATTTTATTAGGCTTTATTTCCACAGCTGTGGCTGACTGTCTGTCTGCAAACTCTGCCGTTTCTGTAACCTACAAGAATGCAATTTATATGTTGTTCACATGATTGGTTTTGCTGTTACATATTGTTTTTATATGCTCACTATTAAGTGATGGTTATCATTTTCTGTTAATAGATTTTCAGGACTTCTCTTCACATATGTGCTCTCCTGCTCCCGGCCATGCTGGCCTGGTTAACCGCCCACTCCAACACTGAAAACGTTTTTGGATTTCGACAAAGTCAAAATCTTAAGAAAATAAATCGTTATTTTGACCTAAAAAGTCACATTTCGAACCATAAATGAAAGAAAAACATTTTTTTTCCTCCTTCCTGGCAGACACAGGCTTTCATACTAAAATTATATTGCGCTGATACATTAATGACAAAGCTGTGCTTGTATTCATTTGCATGGAAATTGTTAGTAGATAACCCGTTAAATTGGCTGCAGCTCAAAGTGTCAGTAGCCTCTCTTAGTAAATCTACCCCCCCTTGTCAACCAGGATGTGGCATTGTAGTTGCAGTGCAAAACTAAATAAACAGATTTCAGACACTAAACATTTCTTGGTTGACTACCTACATTAAGGACGAAGGGGAATTTTTGCCATAACCATTCGTAATCAGCACGCTTACTAATCTACAGTCAGACCACATGTGCTGTTACAAGAGGACCCCCATTGTGTAACCTCAGCACAGAAGCATATTGACCACACAATATGAAGCAAACCAACCTATCATTATGAAGTTCTGTATCTGAGCATGCAGACTCCACAGCCAATCATTATGCTGAGTACAAAGCTGTTCATGTGAAATTGAAGCCATCAGTGAGTTTCATTATGAGTCATAAATAATATAAAGCAGTGCATATGAATCAGTGCAGTTCAGAGACCTTACAGTGTGGGCACACATGTTGAACATTAAAGGTAGCATCTGACAAGACCCTAATGAGCACAAAGACACCCCCCCTTGATGCATGCTATCAACTTATACCACACAGGAAATAGATTTCTCTCAGCCTCTCCCACCACATTAGAGACATGTGGTGGGCTCAGGGTTCAGGAATGTAGCAGCTTGGCATGAACCTATCTGCTATTATACTGCCGACATTGAGCAGAAAAGCTAGAGTGAATTAGAGGCTTTCTGTACCTCTAATTTACTGAAGTTCTTCTGTTAGGATTGAAGACTGAGTTATCTAGAACTGAATGTTCATGGTCCACAGATGTGCAGTTACAGTTATATTATTTCAACAGCAACTGCCTGAGCATGCATTTAAAGCACCGCTTAATGCATTTAATTGCATTTAAAACACTACTTAAAATGTCGAATTGTCACCTCCGTTCTGGTTGTTATTTTTGAACAAAATTTAAAAACGGCACTTTTTACATTGTGTGAACATTTCATGGCGAATGCACCAACAGAAAAAGTTCAAAAAAGACTTGGAATAAACAATAATTGGCATTACATTGAAAGGAAAATCCACCAATTTTTCTACATTTCTGCAGAGTGGTTTGGTGTAAAGTGGTTCATTGTGGAGAAACTTCTTTTTAGTGGTGGTGATGGGAACCAGGAGTCAGTGTCTATATATAGCCATTTTATTTACTATCCAAAACCAACAGTGAAAACACCGTCAGCGTTTCTATATATAATGTTGATGTGATAAATCAGTGATAAATCAGAAAAAATAAGGTTTCTTTGGGTAAAGTTTTGCTTTACATGTACAGTAAATGTAAATACATTTTTGATCAAAATCTCATTTCAACTATTGTAAAACAATGTCTCTGACTTCAGGCAGTGTATTTATAACCATTTCATTTAATAACTGATAGCTTTTAGAGGCTTTGGACGGTTCCTGTCACCACCGCTGTGAACAGTTCTGACTTGGTAGGTTTCTCTAGAACAGAGCATTTCACACCAAAACACTCGGAATGACTGTTTGTGTATTAACCATTTAATTGTGAAGGAATTTTGAAATAATAGTGGAATTCCCCTTTAACACACAATCATATTAAGAACATTTTTTTCTTCTCATAATGTTTCAATTTTTGGAGAAAGCAATGATAGATTATTTATGTGAAATAGGGCCAGAAGGCTAATTGCTAATCAGAAACAATCTTTATGGGTATCTGCTATCAGAGTGATGCTTGAGTGATGTCTTGTTTTTCTGTGTAATGTGTGTCTTAATGTGTTTTACTGTGTCTTTTTGTGTTGTTCTGCTGTTGTTGTTGTTGTCATTGTTATTGCCATGTTGCCCCATTAGATCTGACTACGAGTGCTTCCAGATTGAGCTGTCTAAGAACTACGGAACGGCAGAATGGAGGGAGGACATTAAGAGCATCATGATGAAGGCTGGTCTGCAGAACGTTCAGATCACCTTCCTGTTCGTTGATACGCAGGTGAGATTAACATCATCACTCCTGTGGATTCATGATCAACACACAAGTAAGATAAACCTGAATTTACAGTTGAGAAGTCTAGAGGTATTATTGTCGTTTTAGTGTATGTATAATTTACATTGCATGCTTATTTATTGTAATTATATAATTAATTACGTAGTAGCTTAATCAGTTACATTTGTATGCATTATAAATTCCATATTGATAGGTTTGAGTCTGCATGTCCAAAAAAATGGCAAAAATTTAAAGGAACACAACAATATTTTTATCAAATTCAAATCATAATATCTCCTCTTATACTTATGAACACTAATGTGAAATAGATTAATCATTTTATGTAATAACTTTCTGTAAGGGACCTTTTAGAGGCATTAAACTCTTCAGACATCTGGTTCCTGTCACCGCCACTGTAAACAATTCTGGCTCAGCAAATTTTCACACCAAACCATTTTGAATGACTCTGTTTACATTTGAACCATTTAATTGTGCAGAAATTTAGAAAAAGTGGTGGAATTCCCCTTTTCTTTTTTGTTTGCTGGTTTTCAGATTAAGAGCGAGTCGTTCCTGGAGGACATTAATAACATCCTGAACTCAGGTGACGTGCCGAATCTTTACACTGGTGAGGAGCAGGACAGAATCCTGACCGCTATGAAGCCTGTGGTGCAGGACCTCGGCCAGCAGCCCACCAAAGCCAATCTCATGGCTGCTTACGTCAAGAGAGTCCGGAGCAACATCCACACTGTGCTGTGCATGAGGTCAGAAAAAAAAACACATAGTGTGTGCAGTTGTAGCTGTTCATTTTAAGGTCTCTACTTAAAGGAACAGTTCACTTAAAACTGAAATTTGAAATTTCCACCTGAGACATAATCAGTCAGCCAGCACATGTTTGGTGTCTGAGGTCTGCTTGCTTAGTTTTGTACTAAAAGTACAGAGCTAATGTAGCTACCAAGGAAAGCGGAGAAAGCTTATATCCACAGCTAACTGCATGGCTGAATTATCACACACTTGCCTCAAACTGCATAGAATTGTCAGGTAATCTCAAATAGACTTGCTAATGTGGTTTCTGACACTATATAATACACCATTATCTATAAAAATGGGGAAAAAGAACTGTCTGGGTGGAGTCCTGACATTCTAATGAGCATGTGTGATTGACATCCCTCAGTCCAACATTCCCATCCTGCGACATCACTGCAGCGGAATGAAACACAACAATGTGAGCAGAAATAAATGAGTGAAACAACCTCTGCTTATGCAGATCACCCTTGCTGTGTCGATGACTCACTAGAAAACATTAATATTATATAAAAATGAATATTATTTATTATTCATACATTGTTAACAGTATTTATATGACAACGTCTTAAAAAAGATAATGTTCTTATTTTCGATGAACAGACAGACAGGCGACAGGTAGACAGATGAGTGAGCTTGATAGCTCAGTTATGACTCCAGGTTAGCGTTCGCTTGGTGGTTAGCTTTATCTTTTTCTGATTCGAACAAAGTAAAATCATAGGGAATTGTCACTTTGTTAAAGATGTGTGAACGGAATAAGCCTCATCCGCTTTGTTATGGGTTGGGTACTGCTTGCATAAGCGATACCCAAGATTTGGAGTGCCCAGTTTACATCGAAAGAACAGAATTTTTGTGAGCATTGTGTTTACAGGTCATACTTCGTATGTGCCCTGAAAAGCAAGATGAACCTACTTTGAAAAGAATATCTGGATTTAGTTTCACTGAGGCTTTAAAGTCTGTACTCTTTCCTGAAGTCCGATAGGGGAGGTTTTCCGAGCAAGGCTTCGCCAGTTCCCCTCTCTGGTCACCTGCTGCACCATCGACTGGTTCAGTGCCTGGCCACAGGAGGCACTGCAGTCTGTGGCAGTGTCCTTCCTCAACGAACTTCCCGAGCTAGAGGCCAGCCCTGCTGCCCTCAACGGCCTGGTGAGGGAAAGTGTGCATGCTTGTGTGCGCAAATACATGCAAGTGGACTAAAAACATATTAAAGTGTTACTCAGCTGTTGATTGTGTGTATGTATATTTGTGTTTTTAGACAGTGATGTGCATGGAGATCCACCAGATGGTGGCCCGTAAGTGTGAGCAGTACCGAACTGAACTCTCACGCTACAACTATGTCACACCCAAGAGCTACCTGGAGCTGCTCAGTATCTTCTCTGCTCTGATTGGCCGCAAAAAGCAGGAACTGCACGGGGCTCGTCAGCGCATGAAAACCGGTCTGGACAAGGTGAGAGAGAGCAAAAGGTTTGGGAATGCCTGAAGATTTTTAACCCAGGATGCTTGTGATCCTTGACCACTCCTCTGTAACACACCCACTCACTCACTCACGTGTAGCAGGCTGAAGATTCTCCACAAGGTGGGGCTATTAGCACTCAAATAGCTTTTGGGGCTTCATTTCATATGAGCAGTGCTTTGCATCAGCGGAATTATGGCTACGTTCACATTACCAGGTTGAAGTGGGACAAATCCGATTTTTTGCCCTAATCAGATCTGATGTTTTCAAGACTGTGTGGACACACAAATCTGATCTTTTCAAATCCGACCTGAGTCACTTTCATATGTGGTCTTAGATCGGATACATATCCGATCGCCATGCAACCTTAATGTGAACACTCACATCGGAATTCATGTGCTTTTTTTCCCACTGCTCGTCCGCCATCATTCAGTGTTACCATGGCAGCAGTGCCAAACAGACATTAAAGCCTGTAAACGATGGAAGAGAAACACATCTCACCTTTTTTGCCTACGTCTCGCTCTAACAATGAAGCTGAGAGCTGATCAGAGTGAGTTATCTTCACAGCAAAACTCGTTCTGACCATTAGTCTGTTTGCTGATGGTGCACGTGATTCATTCACGTGATGTTACTGAGTAGGATGTGCACATGCTGGTCATTTTAGGACAGATTTGAGACTAAACGAGTCTGAACCATCGTGTCAGAGAGAACAGATTTGAGCAAAAAATCGGATTTGAGAAATGAGGCTTGTAATTTGTTTGACTAACATCTATTTTGGTGATTTGGCTGTTTGCATGTGTGTGTGTGCAGCTCTTGAGCACAGCTGAGGACGTGAGTAAGATGCAGGAGGAGCTGGAGACCATGCGGCCTCTCCTGGAAGAAGCAGCCAGAGACACCATCATCACCATGGAGAAAATCAAGGCATTACTCACACTTATATTTCATTCTACAACACATCCAACTTAAACATGGAAAAACGTGACCCGAGGTCATTGTACGTCTGCATGTTTGTGTAGGAAGACACAGTGGTGGCAGAGGAGACTCGTGTTGCAGTGCAGGCTGAGGAAGCCAAAGCATCTGAGAAGGCTAGGATAGCCGGAGCCATCGCCGCAGATGCACAGAAAGATCTAGATGAAGCACTGCCCGCACTGGATGCTGCGCTGACCAGCCTCAAATCCCTCAACAAGAATGATGTCATTGAGGTGACTTTAAACATTTGAGCGTCCTGAAGACATCAGTGGTTACACAGAGGAGTAGATGAACACCCAAATATTGCAGTTTATGTCCAGTATGAATTGTGCACACATGGCTGAATCCAAAGTGGCTCTTTGTTAGACACACTGTGCTCTGTTTCAGTAGCCATTATTTTAAGACCTACATGCTGCACTTTGTAGGGAGAAGGGAGCTGTTTGAGATTCTTCCTAAAACAGTCTATGGCAGTGTTGCATCACTTCACCCGAATACTGTGCGCTGATTCGCTGAACTGATTTCTCAGGTTCTGCTGGAGAACAACACTACCATTTCACCGTTTTTGCTGTAAAATGTGAACTTACAATCGACGATAGCGGCTTTTGTGACAAAACATATTTAGGGTTCAGAATGCACTGTGTGTTAAGAATAAATCACCACAGATGGCTCCTTATTTTAAATTAGGGTGTTTATTTGCAAATTAAAGTACCAGTTTCAGTCATTTTCACTCATTTTGAGTACACAGAAAAGTTCCATATCCATATTTGCATTTTTATAAATTGGTACCAACAGACGTTTGCAGTGTAGTACAGGATTTTTCTCATAGTCTTTGTGTATGTCTGTATGGTGTTGTTCAGGTGAGGGCAATGCAGAGGCCTCCCCAGGGAGTGAAGCTGGTCATTGAGGCAGTCTGCATTATGAAAGGCATTAAGCCTAAGAAAGTGGCCGGAGAAAAGCCTGGGACTAAAGTGGATGACTACTGGGAGCCTGGCAAGGGTCTTCTGCAGGACCCCGGCAAATTCCTGGAGGGCCTCTTCAAGTTTGACAAGGTTAGAGTTACACTTACACACATATTTTCACAATAAACTCGATCAGAGAACTGTTCAGAACACTAATACAAGGAAATACAGGTGAAAATTTTGCTCATTTGTTCATCACTTGTCATATGTTTTCTACAGGACAATATCCCAGACTCTGTGATCAAACTGGTGCAGCCCTACATAGACAACGAGGAGTTCCAGCCGGCCTCCATAGCCAAAGTGTCCAAGGCCTGCACGTCCATCTGTCAGTGGGTGCGAGCCATGCATGTCTACCACTTTGTGGCCAAAGCTGTGGAGCCCAAACGGGTAAGAACTTTTGTTTTTTAATGCCACCACATAGCAGGAAGCAACTAAGTTTGGGACCTAGTTTTTGTGCTGCCCTCCAAAGAGCTGTTTTAGACACCGTACTCAGCACCATGCTGCCCCCTACAGTGCAGAAATCATAATTGCAGCATTTGTGTCGTTATTGAAAGATGCTACTTGACAATGATGTTATGTAAACATGATATTAATGTTTTTGTGCATTTGTGTGAGAGTAGCAAGCTCTTGCCGAGGCTCAGGAGGACCTGGCTGTAACCCAGCAAATTCTGGATGAGGCCAAAAAGAAGCTGGCGGCGGTGGAGGAGGGCATTGCCACGCTGCAAGCCAAATATCACGACTGCCTGGCCAAACGGGACGAACTGGACAGCAAGTGCCAGCTGTGTGAGAGCAGACTGATCAGAGCAGACAAGGTGAGCTGTGCCTAATCTGTCTGTATCACCCACACAACATCCACCTGTTCAAATCACCTGTACAACAAACACTTATCCAAATTTCTCTCACAGCATACACCTGTCCACATCACTTGTACAACATACACCCATCCGAATTACCTGTATAACAAACACCTGTCCAGATCATCTGTACAACAAACACTTGTCCAAATCTCCTTCACAGCACACACCTGTCCAAATCACTTGTACAACATACACTTGTCCAGATCTCCCACACAGCACACAGCTGTCCAAATCACCTGTACAACAAACATCTGCCCAAATCACCTGTACAGCTTACAGCTGTACATTTCACTCATACAACATGCAACTGTCCAGTTCATGTGCATAACTCTACAGCTCCCATGTACAATGTCCAAATCACCTGGTAAACATACACATGTCTAGATCTCCTGTTAACATGCACCTTTCCAAGTTACCTGTATGAGATACACCTGTCCAAATAACCCTGCTTGGGTTATTTGCAAAACCATGCACCTGTAAAAAACACTAACATGCTTGTCCATACTTGTCCACATCACTTTTGTAAGTCAGTACACAGAAATACAAATACATACAGTAAAGCAAAGTATGCAGCATGTACCTGTATGGTTTATTATTCTTAGTGTTTATTCATGAATGTATATGTGTGTTGTAGCTGATTGGTGGGCTGGCTGATGAGAAAGTGCGCTGGAGTGAGGCAGTGCAGCATTTGGAGTATCTGGTGGATAATGTAGCTGGAGACGTGCTGATGTCTGCAGGATACGTCGCTTACCTCGGACCCTTTACTGTGAGTAGACACATGGCCTGTGTCTCTGTGTTTTATGTGTCTGCAAGTGCATGTGCAAGCCTGTGGGTGTTTCTAGTGCATCATTCAAAAGTGGCTCCACATCTCCAAAAGTGATGGGTCAGAATGTATTGGTTCTGAAAAAAAAATAAACAAAGTGTGCTAAAAAAATGCTAAATGCTAAATGCAAAATGCTAAAATTCAAAACAAAAACTGGGTCAGTGGCTAACAAACTAAAACTACCTTTCAGCGCTACGGAGATTTGGCCACCACTTTTGCAATGTGAATGTTCATTTTATTAGAACTTAGAAATTATTGTTATAGAAAAAAATACTTTATTTTTACAGCTTTCTGCATATTATTTGTAACCTTTAAAGTTTTTGAGAACAATAGGCTTCATTTACCAACAATTCCTCCAAATTTCTTCTTAAAACCCACTTATGCAGTTTTCACGAAGGTTGTATTGGACTCCCGGCCACGGACGACTGTGGCATTGCCAGGGACCGAATTTCCCACGAGCGTAACAGTAAAATTAAATCAGAGACAAATGTAACTGGTAGGCTAAGTAGCTAACAGGTTGCTATGAACATTTCAGTTAGTAGAAAATGGATAATGACAAATGTTTTTCTGCAACAAAAAAAACATATTAGTATTCACACAAGTATTTTTATTCATGTATTTAAATGTGAAAAATAATATTTTTTTTGCTGTAGAGAGACAAGTAAGATAACAAACAGCATGTGTCCTCCATTTTAAAACTTTCAGAAAGCCAAGCTGGAAACTTTCAGGGAGTGAATGTTTCAGTGCACAGTGAACAATTTGGCCATAGGGAGACCTAGAAAATGGTGGACTCCCTGAACTAGGAGCTGTTTGAGCCACTGTGTCTGTGTGTTCGTGTTTCTCAGGGCGAGTACAGGGCAGCGATGGTCGAGGAGTGGCTGCGTGGCTTTAAGGAGCAGCAGGTCCCTCACACGGCTGAACCTAACCTCATCAACACTCTTGGAGACAAAGTCAAGATCCGCTCCTGGCAGGTGACAAACAAACACACATGTTCTTACATAACATTCTGTTAATCTTCCTCTTACACAAAGCTCGAATCCCATTATCAAACCTATGACCTCCTGAAACGCCACTTGGGAGCACTTGAAATCACTTAGATTTCTGTGTCCAAAAGTGTTTAACACACTGTAAAAAGATGTGTTGTTTTAACTTTAAAAAGTAAGTAGCATGGCTGGCTTGAAATACTAAGTTCATTGAACATCAGATAAGAAGTTTACATAACAGAATGTAAGACACAGATTGTAGTTTTGATAACTGATAACTTTATTGTTCAGCTAACTCAAAATTTTAGGTAATACACAAATAAATTGAAGTTCAGTTGCAAAACATGGAAATTTATGTTCATGTGTTTTTAGTACTAGGGCAGTTTATGATGGACTAACTAACATTTTAAACCAATCTTTCTCAAATTCTTTGTTCAGGTCACAAAAATGCTACATATGTCAACAAATTAAGTTGAATTTTTTACAATGCACAGTACAGAGAAAGATGGGTTTACCGTGGCTGTACTACTGAAGTGTTTTTCCTGTCCTACTGTCTTTGTCTGTGTCCCCGTGTGTGTGTGTGTGTGTGTATGTGTAGATCTCAGGGCTACCGAAGGATAACCTCTCTGTTGAGAACGGTGTGATCAGTCAGTACTCGCAGCGCTGGTCTCTGTTCATCGACCCTCAGGGCCAGGCCAACAAGTGGATCAAGAACATGGTAAGAAAATGTGTGTGTATATATATGTATACATGGTGTAGATACAGTGGCTGTTGTTGATATTGTACCACTCTAAGCAGTCCAATGTGTTGTTTGGTTTTGCTTTATTGATGCTTCCATTGTTGGGATCTTTCTCTCTGCAGGAGCGTGATAACGGACTGGATGTGATGAAGCTGAGTGACCGAGACTTCCTTCGTAGTTTGGAGAACGCCATTCGCTTTGGAAAACCCTGCCTGCTGGAGAACGTGGGAGAGGAGCTGGACCCAGCACTGGACCCTGTTTTGCTGAGACAGGTACACACCTGGAGAAATACTTTTCAGTGACATCACTGTTTATTCCTAAAAGGTCATTCTGGTTCAGTTTCAGTAACTCTTTAAGCACTGATGGTGCTAATGTGTGTTAATACTACTGTGTGAATGTGTTGCTCAGACTTATAAGCAGCAGGGCAGTACAGTGCTGAAGCTGGGAGATGCTGTTATTCCTTATCACGATGACTTCAAAATGTACATCACCACCAAACTGCCCAATCCTCACTATTCACCTGAGATATCCACCAAGGTCACTCTCATCAACTTCACACTGTCACCCAGGTACAGTGCAGCCGTGTGCACTTACAAACCACACATTCGAAACTCACACAGAAACACTGTCAGCTGAACCATCCCAAAACATAAATGGGGTAGGGGTCAGTGGGTGAAGATTTAGTGGCTCGTTTCAGTTGTCAGTCTGTGGACAACCTGTTCATTGATTGACGCCTGACTGATAAATAGCACTGTGCAAAAGTCTTACGCACCCAAGTACACTGATTAAAACCATTTTACTTGTTAAAACACCATATATCATTAGAATAAACGCTAGCAAACATGAGCACAGTAAAAAGCAACAAGAATTTATCATCAAGTATCAGGTTTTGCCCAGATTTACTACTTAGATTTTTAAATCTAATTTTCTCAGGTGCCTAAAACAGCATAGTATTATATTTGGTAAATTAAGTTAAACTAAAATATGGCATAACTTGTGCACATAACAGGTTTTGTGTTTTGTTTTTTTTAACACGTTGTATTCAGCAAGTTAACAGTAATTGTGCTTTGACGTGTGGAAGTGTGTTCTCTGTAGAGGATCTGTTAACTTATTTTCACTTTGAAAATGATCACAATGCATAATTTGATCGGGGCGCCTAAATTTTGCATATCTGAATGATTATATGAATAATGAAGGTCTTAAATGGACAAATTGATAGGAAAAAAGCCCCCACAACACCTAAATAACTGTATATATATATATATATATATATATATATATATATATATATATATATATACACATATATTTATATATATATACATATATATATAATATAATCTATTTAGTCAATATTTCCTTTGTGTAATCTTGTTTGTAATTGTGGTGTTCAGTGGATTGGAGGACCAGCTGCTGGGCCGAGTTGTAGCAGAAGAGAGGCCTGATCTGGAAGAGGCGAAGAACCAGCTGATTGTGAGCAATGCCCACATGAAGCAGGAGCTGAAGGAGATCGAAGATCAGATCCTGCTCCGTCTCAGTTCGTCTGAGGGAAACCCTGTGGATGATGAGGAGCTCATCCGTGTGCTGGGTGCCTCCAAGCTCAAAGCTGGAGAGATCCAGGTCAGTCCGCAAAAGCTACAGCTAGCTACAGCCTAAACCATTTCATTATTTTATTATTTATTCATTATTTATTAACTACTATGAATTCATCTGTAACTACTATGAAACTAATATTTAAGAATCCACCTATGTTTAAAAAAATCTGCATAATTAAATAGCCGAGATGTAAACAGAGTCTTTCAGAGTGGTTTGGTGTGAAATGCTCTGTTTTAGAGAAACTTACCAAATCAGAATTGTTCACAGAGGTGGTGATAGGAACCAGACGTCTAAAGAGTTTAATGCCTCTAAAAGCTCCCTCAGAAAGTCTTTACATTAAATGGTTATGAATACACTGTCTGAAGTCTGAGACACTGTTGTACGATAGTTTGAGAGGGTTTTGGTCTAAAACATGAATATTTTTATCATATTTTTGCCATTTTACCACTGTTTTATCATTATCAACATATTCAAACTTAAAAGACAGTGGGTTCACTGGTGGTTTTGGATCGTAAAACCACTGGTTCCTATCACCATCACTGTAAAGAAATCAGAGAGGGTAAGTTTCTCTACAGTGAACCACTTCCCATCAAACCACTCCTGTGACCTTGTTCACAACTCAGCCGCTCAGAATACCATTTCTTTACTTACTTTTATTTACAGTGACTTCCTTATGGCCGTTCCCTGGTTCGCCTTCCCTGTGTCTTTTTCTTTTCTTCAATATCAGTTCCTTTCAGTTCTGAATCCTGTATTTTTTCACAACTGCTCATTTAAAAAGCATTGTAAAGTGTCCTGTAGGTAGGATTATGGGTAACCTGTGTAAGCATGTGCTCAGCTGTGGATCCATAATGATGTAATGGAACATGACAGGCTAAAGTGATGGTGGCAGAGGAGACGGAGCGGGACATTGACGCAACACGGCTGGAGTACGTCCCCGTAGCCGTACGCGCCCAAATCCTTTTCTTCTGTGTGTCTGACCTGTCCAATGTTGACCCCATGTACCAGTACTCACTGGAGTGGTTCCTGGGCATCTTCATGGCTGGCATCGCTAACTCGGACCGGGCAGGTAGAATTCTCCCTAATTAATAACACCATCACTATCACTGAGAGTGCTATTAAGAAACTTATTCACTACTTAACCCTTGTGTGGTGTTCATGTTTTTGTTACTCAGTGGTCTGGTTGACCCACCACATTATTGTTATTTTAAATCAATACAGCCATAATAATTAATGTAAATATATCAAAGTGGGGAGTTTGCCTGTTCTCCCCGTGTTGGACATGCTCAGTTGCCCCTAGGTGTGAGTGTGTGTGTGAATGTGTATGTCTGTTTGTCTGCCCTGCGATGGACTGGCGACCTGTCCAGGGTGTATCCTGCCTTCCGCCCAATGACAGCTGGGATAGGCTCCAGCACCCCACCGCGACACAGAAGGATAAGCGGTTTAGATGATGTATGTATGTATGTATGTATCAAAGTGGCCAGTGAAGGGGTCGCATCATTTTTTCTTTTGGTAAACATTGAAAATGGGTCCCACAGACACCAACACCACAGAAGGGTCAAGGCAGCATCACTGACTACATTAATATTTTTTCCAATATACACTATGCCACTCATGTGATTCTTCTGCTAGTATTAAAGCACTAAAACTGTCTCAGATGTCATTTGTAAGTGTTCTTGATGGCGACTCACTGTAACAGATTGTCTCTTCCTTTTCTTGTCCTTTTCCCTGTCTCCGTCCACAGACACGGTGGAGCAGCGCATCATCAACATTAATGAATATTTCACCTTCAGCCTCTACAGCAACGTCTGCCGCAGTCTGTTTGAAAAACACAAGCTCATGTTCGCCTTCCTGTTGTGTGCACGCATCATGATGAATGACAACAAGATAGACATGGTGATCTATCTATCTATCTATCTATCTATCTATCTATCTGTCTATCTATCACTGATTACCCCTATTATATTCAGCTTTTATTGACTTGACTGCTGTGTCTTCTATTCCACTCTACTTCTGTCTGATGCACTAATGCACATTGTTTAAGTCTTTCTGTACAGAACATTTTTTCTACTGAAAATTTCATTAAGGAAGGTTAAAGTAGTCCAGTGGGCCTCATATGCAAAGAAATTATTTAAAAGGTTATGCAAAATTGAAAATTTGTTAAAGCATTTGCTTGTTCCAAGCTTTGAAGCCTACAGTTCACATCTGTTTTTGACTGTTTGTAAAGATAGCTGTAGAACAAATTTCCAAGCTGACATGGTCTAATCAGAGCGCCCTGTCTCCAGGCTGAATGGCAGTACATGCTGTCTGGAGGAACGGCCCAGCAGCAGCTCCCCAACCCGTCGTCCAGCTGGTTATCAGAGCGGGCATGGCAGGAGCTGCTGGCTCTCAGTGCGCTGCCCAACTTCAAAGGCCTGGCAGACACCTTCTTCAAACATGAGCCTGAATACAAGGGGATCTTTGACAGCAGCCAGCCACACCGGTAACCTCACACACACACACACACACACACACACACACACACACATACACAGACACTTATACAGACAATGGTTTATGGTTTACAGTTGTATGCAAAAGTTTAACACATTCTCTAAAAAGAACACACTTTTATTTAGTTTATTTTCCATGAGGAAAAACACTAAAACTTAACATATGAAATGTGGCATGATTTTTGCACAAGCCGTACTTATATATTATATTTATATATATAAATATGTAGACTAATATCCGTTTGTTTTGAGTGACGCTGTACCTTCATAATACGTATTTTATTAAAACAAATGATTGAACATTACATTCAGTCACTACGAATACAATAATAATTCATATGACACTTTGGGACACATTTACTTTAATACAGTGGGATCTAACTATCTTACTTCCTGCTCTAAAATGCAGAGGTGTGTCGCAGTGACTCTGTATGCATGCTGTGTGTATAATTTTATTGTTCTGTGTTTGTGTGTGTTTTCTGTGTACTGTATGTATGTGTTTATGTGTTTGTGTGTGTGTGTGTGTGTGGGTGGGTGTGTGTGCGTGTGTATGTGTGTAAAGAGAGCCTCTCCCAGGCGAGTGGGTCAGTAAGCTGGACAGCTTCCAGCAGCTGCTGGTGCTGCGCTGTTTGCGTGTAGATCGCCTCACACACGGCCTGCAGGACTTTGTGTCTGCACAGCTGGGTCAGCGCTTCATCGAGCCTCAGGTAGTACAGCCCTGCAGCTAGCCTACAAACATGAGTTTATCTCTCAGCAGCCACCAGAAGAAGCCTTTAAAACCCTTTGAGTTATTGTTATTATTTTGCTATTGGTGGAATGGCATAATTACTTGACAGTTTACATAATGATTCATTACGTAATGAGTACCATTTAAATTCAGTTTACTTTCTGCTTGTTTGTTTCGATGTAAAAAAAGACAAAAACATAAAAAATGGCTATAAATGACTAAAAATACTCTATAAACTTTTAATCAAACTCAAATCATAACATCAAAACATTTCCTATGCTTGCAAGCACATGCGGTATAAATGGAAAGTCTGGAATTTTCACTTTCGAGAGACAACAGTGCCATAATGCACCTTTGCACAACTGTACAAATGTTCATATCACACATGTAACATACTATAAATAAGGTCTGATGCTTCCTCAGACCCTGCACATGTCTCTTGTTGTATTTTATTTTATTTTATTTTATTTTATTTTTTTCCCTTATTTTCCCACAGTTAATATCTTATTTTCTGGTAAATATTTGTTAATATCTCTGTGTACTTGTCTGGTCAGGGCCCAGTTTCCCAAAAGCATCTAAGTCTGGCCTTACACGGTAAAACTTTAGTTGCTTGAAACTTATACGAAACTTACTTGCACTTGAGTTGCAGAATGCAAAGCATCCTGCAACTCAATTAAAACACTGCTGCAACGGTTGCAACCGTCTGAACTTTGTGAAACCAGTTTCATGAAACAGCCAATCAAAACACTGATAACGCATCACATTTCAAACAGTGTTATGTTATATGGGCAGGAAAATAAAACAAAATGTTTATTTCACTGTTTAAAAAAGAGACCCCCACCCCGCGTTATCGACTTTATTAAAGGTTGGCAGTTTTTCATTTTGTCAGTGTCTTGAGCCTTGACATCAAACAGAAGAGTTTCTCAGTTGGCATGGCTCATAAAACTGACAAAATGAAACCAACAGTGAGTCAGCCTGGGCTCTGGATCTCCTTTTCTACCAATCAGTGGGTTTAAAGCATGTCATTTGACGTGATGCGTTGTCAGCGTTTTGATTGGCTGTTTCATGAAACTTGTTCCAAACTGTTCGGTTTCAAACGGGCGACAGGATGATTTACATTAGGCAACTTGAGTACGATTTAGTTTCATGTAGGTTTCAAGCAACTAAAAGTGCATGGAAATTTCACCTTGTAATGCCAGCCTTAGCGTTGAGATCATCTTAACCGCAAGGAAGTGTTCATTGTTATGCTCGCTCTACCATTTAAAAATCATCTTTATGCCAACATGCTTTCGGTAAACACTCACTAAGACAAATTCTTTAGATGTGTAACATACTTGAGAATATAAAGTGATTCTGATTCGCAGAATTCTTAAAATATTAAGTAAAGTCCAAAAATATATGTTGGTTAGAAGTTTGTAATTATATCAAATATACACTGTACAGGTTAATATTGTATAAAGAATAACACAGATATGGTAATTCCAAACTTAGGAATGCTAGTGTGTGTGGAATGCTGTTAGTAAACTCTAAGCTCTGCTTGATGCTGTTTCAGTAATTCCTGAAGGGGGCATTAAAGTACTTTTTGTCCCAGCCTGTTTCAGCAGTCTCTGAGTCTAAAGCCTTTTAAAAGTAGCTGTTCTCAGTGACAAACTCTCACCCCTCATCTATCTCTTTCTCTTTCAGACGTCTGACCTGTCTGTTGTCTTTAAGGAGTCCTCTCCGTCCACTCCGCTCATCTTCGTGCTGTCTCCTGGCACTGACCCCGCCGCCGACCTCTACAAGTTTGCTGATGTCATGAAGTTTTCCAAGAAAATGAGCGCCATCTCGCTGGGCCAGGGCCAGGTCAGAGGGAAGGGGCTTCTGGGAAAACAATAAAACACACACACACGTCATCTAAACCGCTTATTCCTCTGGGTTGTGCGGGGGGAGCTGGACCCTATCCCAGCTGTCATTGGACAGAAGGCAGGATACACCCTGGAAAGGTCACCAGTCCATCGCAGGGCAGACAGACATATACATCCAACAATAAAACAAAAACTAATTAAATAACTTCACAATATACTCAACAAACAGGATGCATTGAATTTACTTGATATTCACAAGAATAAAATATATTAAATGGACACATTTATGGCCAAAATCTAACTGTACGACAAACTTGTTGATGTCATTTTTGTGTTATTTTATTCATGCGGACAAAAATCAAGTAAATTCAATTCAGCCCCTTTTTTAACGTGCTCAGATTCCAAGTCCAGTTTGGTAACCTGGGTTGTAATTCTATATCAGATTATGCTTTATAATTACAGATGTATTTGATTTCCCCCTTTAAAGATATTTATCTTTAAAGATACTTCATATTTAATTATTAAGTCTAAGCTGTTCAGTATCTACGAGGAAACGTATATAAAGTTTGGTATTAGAGTAAAGAATTGAAGTGTGGACTCACATACAGGCCCTTAGAGTTTAAAGCTGGCCCATGAGGACATTTGTTTTGGCCCACCAGAAGGTTTCTCTAACCTCACCTCCTCCCCTAAGAAGAGAACAAGCATATTTTATACCTAATAACCAAATAAATTCTTATTTTCTTTTCAAATTGTATTTTTTAAGTATTTTAACAGTAAAACATAGCATAATATTATAAAATATATTTTTAAAAACTCGATTTGAAACACACCGTCCTACACACAAAGATTGCTCTTCAAGAAAATGGTTCTATATAGAACTATGAACACTCAAAGAACCCTTTGCATGATTAAAGCGCTCTTTGCATTGTGAAAAGGGTTCTATATAGCATCCAAAACAGTTCTTCTATTTTAACAAGCTTGACACCATAACAGTAAAAGAACCCTTTTTGCCACTGTATAGAACCCTTTTCAAAAAGGTTCTATATAGAACTATCTTCAGCACATTCTCCATCAATCTGAAGAACCATTTCACAATGCAAAGAACGCTTTAATCATGCAAAGCGTTGTTTGAGTGTTCATGGTTCATATAGAAGCATTTTCTTTACTAAAGAACCCTTGAAGAACCATCTTTTTTAAGAGTGTTCCTACAGTGTTTGTATACTTTGTATATTTTGTGGTCTTTTTGCCCCTTGGCCCCCCACAAACACTGCACTTTTGCACCCAACACAAAAAAATTGGGTACCCCTCTTGCATAGATAAAATGCTATAGGGGTTTTGAGAGCCGTCTAGTCTTCATCCCGCAGGTAAGATCCCCCTCAAAAGCCTATCTTTGGCATGACTGGAATTTTCCCTGCATCCCAACAGACCTCCATGTAATAAACCCATCTTTTTCCACCCTGCTGCTAATTATCTGTCTGCTCTGAGCTTCCCTATCAGCTACTGTGCTCTAGGTCACCTCCTACAGAGCTGCTACATTCCTTACAAGCTGAGGACAGTGATGCTGGCATTCAGTCACATCTCTGAGGTCATACCTATCAGTGCTGACCTGGGATCATGTTTCCACTTTCATGTCCTAGTGAATGCGATGACTCAGCCTGGGGAACGTGGTCTTTGAAACACACAGACATTGTAGTGTTGGCAGGTGGGCTTAAAATGTTCCAGAAGAAGAGCAGATGAGTCAAATGAAGAAGTGTGAATGAGGAGGAACACTCTAGAGATTCCCTACATTCATACACGGATACAACACATCAGCCTGAAGTCTAGGTTTGGCACTGGGCTTCACCCTTAGACCATATCAGGATGTAGATGAATAGCGGTTTTAAAGAGGGAGAGAGCTTTGGGAACACTTTACAGTCTGACTTTAAACCTTTATGAAATATAAAGCACATAGTTTTTATAAACAAATATTGGCCGAGCCGCCTTTAAAGCTGTTGTGAATTACTCAACGTATAATTTGACACGTCAATTGAATTTTGTATTAATGTGCCACGTTTTTAAAAACTAAAGAATTGTTATGTAGATGTGCTAAATATGCATTATGATGCATTATGTATATGATCATTATGTTGCCTGCCAACTATTGCCTACTGTTAACAAACTACAGTGCTTGGTGGTAAAAATTGTTTTGCAGTTATTATTGTTATTAATTATAAATGAAGTTATTTGTGGAATGTTAGTGTTTTATCTAAGCAATAAGCCACACAAGACCGTGCATTACAGTGATTTTACCACCATTAACAGGGCTTAAGGCTGGGTTCACATTTAATTTTTTTCTGATTGTTAATGTCTCAGACTGCTGATTTCGCTGTCGCTATGCAACAGTAGTGTTGTAACTTTCAATCAGCTGTAAAGGCTAAATGTGGTGCTGCTAGCAAAAAAACGGAAAACTGTGACTGAAGCCCTGCCTTCCTTTTGATCTGACTGGTCAGCGCAGAAAAAACTGAGCTACTTGACTGCTTGGACTTTTTCCACCTCTGGGCTCCACACAAAACTTTGTTTTAATATTTAATAATATTTCTTTTTGATTTCTTTTAAAGTGAAATAGTTCGAATTATCATGAATTTAACTTTTACATGAAAAAAACATTATTGAAAAAAATGCTGTTCCACGTTTTCATGTCACTACTGAGTTTTAGTTCATGAGCGGAGCCTTTTTTCAGCCATGCCCCTGCATTTTAGAACAGGAAGTGAGACTGTATCCCTGTCCCTCATAGCCACATTGTGAGCAGTTTGATCCCATTGTTTTGAAATAAATTTGAAATAAATCTGAAAATCTTTGGCACACTAAGAATTGTCACTATCAAAATATATATTTTCATAATTAAGTAAACTTTTTTGTTTATGATTTTATGTGCGTACAGCTGTTCAAAGCTGTGATTCTAGTCATGTACTGACTTTGGTAGTGTTATGACTGTTTTGTTAGTGACAAAATGGAATGTTCAATCATATATTTTAATGAAGTAAACATAATTTAGGTATAGTGTCGTTCAAAGCGAAATGATTTTAGTCTAAAATCCAAGTTAGTTAACAGTCCAGAATGTGTTTTGAACTCTTTGAACCAATTTGGTAGAATGGTTAAAGCCCAAACCCAACCTGTACCCACGAATTTGAAACCCGACTGTACCAGGCCCAACTGTTACTGCTAAATTTGAATCCCGAACACGACCTGAACACTAACAGAGGTGTATTATTGCAGACAGAACTTTACTTTGTTGCTAAGATGTTGAGCTGACCAACGGAAAATGTCTTGCAGGGATAAACTCATATTTTACACATCTGTGATACACTAGTATTTATTATCAGTAATTGTCATGGAGTTGCTGATTTTACCTGGTGGAAAACAGCATCCATCTTCCTCTGATCAACAGTGAGTGACGGTGCATGAAAACTACTTTGCACAATCCTTCAAATAAAAACAAATCTATTACATAAATCATCACAAGAAACCAAGTCCGACCCGAACCCGATGTAGTATACATTGAAAATTGGCCCAAACCCGGCCCGAACCTGATATTTTATTGGGCGCTGTTGGGCACGGGTCAAGTAGCAAAGCACTTAATAACAATATTAAGGAACTATAATTCTGATAACAAAAATATTGACAAATACAATTTTAGATTTTTGTTGTGATTCATTTTATATTATTTCCCATTTAAAGAAAAAAAAAAGATTTTAGGTATTTCGTGAATGCATGTATGAAGAGTTCTAGGGGCAGCATTGCTAATTCTTGCAGAGGATAGTTCCAGATAGAAGATATCCAATAAAGTATGGGGCCAGTGACGTATGGACAGATTGCGAGGGGGTAGCCAATGCTGGACGATAACCTTTTTTGCTGCAGTTAAACCAACTAGTTTTCCATAATGAGGAATAAGAATCCTCAGTCCCATGTGGTAGACTTTAGATTTTAAGTTATACGGCAGTCATAAGTAACAGTGCTTTAATGGCAGAGATGAGTCGGTTCTTAGTGCTCACGTTTTAAAAAGCATTGCTTTGGTTTCTGTTACCTCTGTTTTTCTTAGTTTTCGTCTGTTCTCTTCATAAAAATGTTTTTGCCAGTGTTTCGCCATCTGAATCCCAGCAATAGTGCAACCAAAAAAGTTGGCTTGTTATCAGTGATAGCAAAGCCGAAAAAACAGGTCATCTGTATGGTCTGATAATGTTTTTTGCTACATTATTTATCATTCAAATGATATAAAATTCAGGCCCTAATATATGAATGCTTACATACAAACATCTGCAGGTAGTTTAGTGTTATGTCCTCAGTTCATAGAAGCATTCGTATGTCTGTATAGGCATAATAATTGCCGAATTATGTGTCTTTTGAATGCATCATGTTTTATATTGCTTCAAAGATTTATTTCAAGACTGATCTTACCTTAACCAAGCCCGAAATGTATTGTAATGTAGTGGCCATTCCTGTGTGTGTTTCAACTCTCCTAGTTTGTTTTTCCTGCGTGCGCTTTGGGACGCGCTCAGGATGTTCTTCATCTGCTATCTTGGTCTTCATCTCAAAGCTGATTCTGTTCTGGCTCTAGAGTGTTTCTGCTTGCTCTGTGTTTGTCCTATCTGTGATTGTATTGTCTGCGCTGAATGTCATATCCGACTTGTTATTTCAGCAACATGGCTTTGTTTGTCGTTGATGTGTGATTATTTGGAGGCCTTCACAAACTTTTTTTCCTGGGAAACACGAGCATTCCTGACTGTTGACTGGAATGTTTTGTAGGGGAACTGACAAACCGAGTGTTCATGTAAACTCAGGTTGGCGCAGATGAAAACAAATGACAGTGACATTTGTGATGTTTCAGGGTTTTTTAAACAGTTTAAACAGTTGTAGATTGGGGTTTCTTGGAAGTTCACACTCATCTCTTCACACTCATTTTGGTTAGGACAGTACAACATTGGAAACGTACAACCCCATTTCCAAAAAAGTTGGGACGCTGTGCAGATTGTAAATAAAAATAGAATGCAATGATGTGCAAATCGTGTAAACCATATATTTAAAGGAAAATACTACAAAGACAACATAGCCAGTGTTGAAACTGCAGGCAGGTCAGTTTCGCACCCAGACTCTTTTACTACAGAGTCGTGCTGTTGTAAAACATGCAGAATGTGGTTTGACATTGTCTTGCGGAAATAATCAAGACCTTCCCTGAAAAAGATGTTGTCTGGATGGTGGCATATGTTGCCAAAGCATGTATATATCGTTCAGCATTAATCGTGCCTTCACAGATGTGCACGTCACCCATGCCGTGTGCACTAATGCTCCCCCATACCATCATGAATACTGGCTTTTGAACTGTGTACTGATAACAAGCTAAGTGGTCTTTAGCCCGGAGGACACAGTGTCCATGATTTCCAAAAACAATTTCAAATTTTGATTTGTTGGACCACAGGACACTTTTTCACTTTACCTCAGTCCATTTTAATTGAGCTCGGGCCCAGAGAAGGTGGCAGCATTTCTGGATCCTGTGTTTTAGAGTTTTAACCTATTTTTTTGGATGCAGCGGCAAGCTGTTTTCACAGACAGTGATTTTCAGAGGTGTTTCTGAGGTCATGTGGTGATTTCCACTGCAGAATCATACCTGTTTTTAATGCAGTGCCGCTTGAGGGCCCAAAGATCATGTCCAGCAAATACTGTTTTTTGGCCTTGTCCCTTGCATACAGAGATTTCTCCAGATTCTCTGACTCTTTTAATGATATTATGTACCATACGTGATGAAAAGCAAAAGTTCTGTGCTATTTTACGTTGATAAACGCTATTCTTGAACTTTCGCACTATTTGCTCATGCAGTCTTTCACAGAGTGATGAACCCCTCCTGATCTTTACTTCTGAAAGACTCAGCCTCTCTGGGATGCTTTTTTGTACCCAGTCATGTTACTAACCTGTTGTCAATCAACCACCAGGTGTGTTTTTTTAGCATTACACAACTTTACCAGCCTTTTGTCGCCCCCATTCCAACTTTTTTGGGACGTGTTGTTGGCATCAAATTCAAAATGGGTGTATATTTTTCAAAAAACAATCAAATTTTGCACTTTCAACATTTAAAATATGTTATCTTTGATGAAATATAGGGTTTAAATGATTTGCACATCATTGCATTTTGTTTTTATTTACATTTTGCACAACATCCCAACTTCTTTGGAAATGGGGTTGTAGAAAGTACTTACATTACTAGAAACACTCATACAAACCATTTTCTATAACCCTACTTTCGTTGTGGACACTGGGTTTTAGTGATAGCATTCTTTTAAACTGCTTCCTCAGTGCTGAATAATTCACTGTGGCATCTTTGAGGATGAGTGTGATTTAGTTGTTGCTAATGTTGTGTGAGTGTTTGAGAGTCTGTAGGCTGAGGCTGTAGTGCTTGTTGCTAACCAGTTTGATATTTCTTCTCATCATTATTATATTATACATGAATGTTGTTTGTAACTTTCAGGGTCCCTGGGCTGAAGCGATGATGAACAGTGCGATGGAAAAAGGGCAGTGGGTGTTCTTTCAAAACTGCCACCTTGCGCCCAGCTGGATGCCCTCTTTAGAGAGACTCATCGAGAATATTGACCCTGACAAGGTCAGCTGTACCACACACACACACACACATATATACATAGCCCCCTTTCACCCTGTTCTTCACTGGTCAGTACCCCCATAGGACCACCACAGAGCAGGTATTTTTTGGGTGGTGGATCATTCTCAGCACTGCAGTAACACTGACGTGGTGGTTGCGTGTTAGTGTGGGTTGCGCTGGTACGAGTGGATCAGACACAGCAGTGCTGCTGGAGTTTTTAAACACTGTGTCCGCTCACTGTCCACTCTATTAGACACTCCTATTATGTTAGTCGATCTTCTAGGTGTAAAGTTAGAGATGATAGCTCACCTGTTGCTGCACAGTTTGTGTCTAGTCCTTCATCAGCGGTCAACAGGACGCTGTTGGCTGGACATTTTTGTTGGTGGACTATTCTTAGTCCAGCGGTGACACTTTTTCTGAATGACCTGTTGCTCTCATTATTTTAACACTTTTCTTTCTTAGCTCCACCTTTCTCTCCATTATCAATTTATCCGTCCAAATTGTGAGGTCAAATCACAAATGCTGTAGCATCGTTGACTCAACTAGCTTGCGAGCTCGTTCTACTTACTGCACGGCACCATTTATTGCGCTCATAGCCTACCACTTTAATAAATCATCGCTGTACAAAGAAAAACAAGTATCTCCAAAATAGTAACTTTACGGGAGGACAATAACTTTCTTTACTTTCAATGTAAGTTATTGGAAGGAAATTTTGTTCTAAGCAATTTTGGAGCATTTCTGTTGGCCAAATCATTAAATATTCACACAATGTTTGACAGCTGCTGAGCTCAAATAACGCAGAAAAGTAAAAATCGCAAAAAAATGGAGATGCATGTTTTGCATCTCACTGGACAGCGATGAAATAAGAAGTTGTGCCTAACTATGATTTTATCAGAGAATGTGTAATGAGGAGAATTGGCTCAAGTAATATCTTTTGGTTTTCTCAGATGCTTGAGTGAGCTTTTGTGTAAAATCATAGTTTGTAAGTGTTTAAACTTGCAAAATTTGCAGAGAAAAATGCACAAGTTTGTAATATATCACAAAATCAACTCTGCTGTTATATTTTCAAGCCTTTTGAGCTTCAGTTTTAGGACTTTCTAACATGTCCAATCTACGTTCATGATGTCAGTGAGCGTGAACCGTTTTACTCGGCCAGTGAGCTCAGCAGTCTCACCAAACGGTCAGTAGTAGTGATGCTAGTGCCCTACGGCCCAAAACCTGTGTGCTGCAGAAAATTAGAAATATATTAGCAAGTTTTTTTTCCTTCATTTTTTTAAAATGGAATACATCTCTCTACTTTCCAAAATTAAAAGAGGGTCCCTCACAAATGGTTAAAAACAAGTTTCATTTTTCCACTTTTAGCCGTTTAGCTCCATTAACTCGTCTATTGAGGTTGCAGTCATGTTTCTGATATAATGGGAGAAATAGGAAGTGGCCAGCCTTCCCTTAAAACAGCTCAGATTTGATCACAACTAGGGCTGAGAGAGTTGTAGTCATGTGGGAATCGAGAGTCAACTTCAAAGCTTTGCACTCGATTTCACAAGTTTGCCAGTTTGTTTAAGTTTGCCAGCACATGTTGATCACACGTGTGCTGATGTTGATCACTTTGGAGCAGGGATCTCAAACTACCCACCCGTGGGCAACATCTGGCTGGCGAGACAGCTTCACATGGCCATCACATAATTACAGTTTATCCTTGGGGCCAAATACTTACACTTGATGAGTAGATTTGTTTCACGCACGAGAGACTGTGGCTGCTTACCAAGCATGCTATTTAAAATCAGCTTAGGTTGTTGATTACAATGTTAAAAGCAAAAATAGAGCACTGCATGCAAAAGGAACCATTCGAACTAAAACCTGAACACTGAGCGAGCATGACTGTAATTTATCTATGACTAACGTAGCTATTATTCTAATTTAGACCGTTAGTTAAATGTGTCCTCATTGATTCATTCACGACATAGTGGTGCACACAGAACTTCAGAGTTCAGAAATGAACTGACAAATGAATGGAAGATGGTTCTGCAGATTAAGAGAATGTGTTGTATATGCTTCTAAATAGAACCTTTTTGAAAACTGCCTATATAGCACCAAAAAGGGTTCTTCTTTTGTTACAATGTCAAGCTTGTAACAAAAAAGAACCCTTTTTGGTGCTATATAGAACCATTTTCAAAAAGGTTTTATATAGAACCATATGCAACACATTCTCCATCAACCTGAAGAATCATTCCACCATGCAAAGAACCATTTAAGCATGAAATGGTTTTAAATAGAACCATTCTCTTTCTTAAAGAACCCTTGAAGGACCATCTTTTTTAAGAATGTGCTTATAGCAGATTGGACCAAAAACACAAACCTTTGAAGCCATTCAAGTACCATATTCTGTTTTATTTAGCAGTTTTACAGTCAGTGAATCATCCAGTAAATACCTCAGTGTAAAGCCTAACACTGAATATTAACCGTTAGCTGTCTTTTAGTCTGTTTAGACTGCTGTGTTTTAGCCTTGTTTTAAGAAAATAAGTTGTCAGACCCTCATTTTGAACAAAACTGGGTTCTTACTTCATCAATCATTACACTTGGTGGTCCATGTGAGCAGCAGAAGAGTCCATTCACAGTAGCATTCAGTCCATTAGCAGAGCAGCTAGACATTTGTTTAATTGCAGAGCTAAATGCACCCAAATTCCCCAGACTGCACCGAGAGCTCCCCCTCATATCAGTCTTTTGTGCATAGCCATGTATTTGTCTGTCTTTGTTTATCCAGCTATCGTGTCTGATTTTGTATGAATGTTTGTGCATCTCAGGTCCATCGGGATTTCCGTCTGTGGCTGACCAGCCTCCCTAGCAACAAGTTCCCCGTGTCCATCTTACAGAATGGCTCCAAAATGACCATCGAGCCACCACGGGGCATCAAGGCCAACCTGCTCAAAACCTACCTGAGCCTAAACGATGACTTCATCAACTCCTGCTCCAAGGTGCTGTGGACGCATACAACACCATAGAAGATTGTAATTTACACAGATCCCCCCTCTCACTGCACATGTAGTCTATCAGCCAAGAAATGTTCAGTGTCTGAAGTTTTACTCCACACTATCGCTTTAAAGCCTTATGCATGAGACCCTTTATGTAAACTAAGGTAAACTGAGCTCATTTGTTTACTTCTTGTGATGTTTTTCGCTGGTAAACAGCTCAGTAAAATAAATGCAGCGAGATGCATCTGATCATCTCTCTCTTGTTCATGTTTTTCTTCTCTGTCTGTCTCTCTCTTTCTTTCTCTCTGTCTTTTTCTGTATGTCTCTCTAACTCTCTCTGTTTGTCTCACTTTCTCTGTCTCTGCCTCTGTCTGTTTCTCTTTGCCTCTCTCTGCTTCTCTCCCTCTATCTCATTCTTTCTCTGTCTGTCTGTCTCTTTCTTTCTCTCTCTTTCTGTCTCTCTCTTTCTCTCTCTTTCTCTTCCCTTCCCCTCCTCCTTCTCTCTCCCTCTCTCTCTCCCTTTCTCTCTCTCTCTCTCTCTCTCTCTCTCTCTCTCTCTCTCTCTCTCTCTCTCTCTCTGTCTCACAGACTGCAGAGTTTAAGTCTCTGTTGATGTCTCTGTGTATGTTCCACGGAAACGCTATTGAGCGCAGGAAGTTTGGCCCGCTGGGCTTCAACATCCCCTACGAGTTTACAGACGGAGACCTGCGCATCTGCATCAGCCAGCTCAAGATGTTCCTCGACGAGTACCAGGACGTCCCTTACAAGGCATACAAACACACAGAGACTTGCATATGCACATACACATAACTGTCATGAAGAATATTTTATTCAACAATAACTCATACAGTGTAGATGTGCACATAAAAAACAAGACACTTGAAGGTGTTTGAGAATTTTTATTCAATACATCAAGTATTTTAGGGAACAAAAAGAAGTAATAATTATCTATAGTAATTTCTTGTCAAGTTAATGGCCTCAAATACGAGCCTTTCTTCGTTTTCAGGGCTGTACAGCTTTCTTGGGTATTTTAGAATCATCTACATCTCTGATCATCATTTTCAACACATTTTAAATTTACTGTAGGAACACTTCGCCCAAAATGAAAAGTGTAACCATCACTGCATTTGCTTGTTTGCATCCTGCTACGGTGCCACAGTAGTCTCCTGTGGTGAGAGTGGGAAAACCCCCTTGAAGGTGGGAGGAAACTGTAACTTCTTTGGGGTGGATTTTTTGCAGAAGGAAGGCAAGATAGCTAATGTTACTGCTTGGAAGCTGAATATCTTATTGCTGTTGTATAACTGCAGTAATTGTCTTCACATCATCCAACCAGTGGAAGGAATAGACTATTCAAATGACAGAAGGACAACAAGCTCACAAGATAGCTACCTGGCTAGATAACCTACCTCAGTTTGGCTTTTCTCTGGCTGAAAGGATAGAAAAGTGCCTCTGTTTTGTGGTGAATCACTGTTTTCTGTAGGATTTTGTGAGATGACCCAGGTAAGAGGTAAACTAATGCTAGCATGGTTGTATTTATTAGCCTATAGATCAGTAACTACACTCAAACAAGATGGTTCTTCAAGGGTTCTATAATAAAGGGAATGGTTCTGTATAGAACCATGAACACTCAACAAACTCTTTGCCTGATTAAAGGGTTCCTTGCATTGTGAAAGGGCTCCTCAGATTGATGGAGAGTGTGTCTTATATGGTTCTATATAGATTCTTATTGAAGAAGGTTCTATTTAGCACCAAAAAGGGTTCTTATATTGTCACAGGCTTGACATCATAACAACAGTGAACCTTTTTGGTGTTACATAGAACCATTTTCAAAAAAGTTCTGTATAGAACCATTTATATACAGCACATTCTCTGTCAATCTGAAGAACTGTTTAACGATGCAAATGACCCTTTAATCGTGGAAAGGGTTCTTTGGGTGTTCATGGTTCTATACAGAACCATTTTCTTTACTAAGGAAATCGAAAACCTTGGAGAACCAAGAAGTTTTTAAGAATGTAGCAATAAGGATTGGTTGACACCACAGAGATTCCCAGGGGTTGTTCGATGTATGTGTGTAATGCATGCTGGGTATTGTAGTGAGAGAACACTGAAAAATGAAAACATGAAAACAATATAAAATTGTGAATTCTGAATTCTGTCAAATTGAGGGATAAAATGCTGCATAACAGAAAACTGCATAGCACATCAAATAACATAATAAAATAAAATGATAGTTTAAGAAAAATTCTTGTTTCTTCCTTCTCCATAGCAACATGCAGCCAGATTTAGAAGAGACAGAATTTGGTTTATGAGAAACAAACAGGGCAGAAATACTCAGCATACCTGTTTGCTCAGAGCGATGTGACTATCATACCAGAGAGCAAAAACATGCAAAAACAAATAACAACACATACAAAGAGACCAAAAATCTTTCTGTTTCTTAGGCTTTTTGAATGTTGCCATCTTTACTTTGCATGTGACTTTGCTGTTAATAAATTAAGCTAAACTGCTCTTTAGGTGCTGAAATACACTGCTGGGGAGATCAACTATGGTGGTCGTGTAACAGATGACTGGGACCGCCGCTGCATCATGAACGTGTTGGAGGATTTCTACTGTCCAGCAGTGCTAAACCTGGACCACATCTACTCCCCCTCCGGAGAGTACCGGCAGATCAGCACTGAACTGGACCTCAAGGTGATTGTCCAGCACCAGCTAACATTTACTTTACGTTTATACACTCAGTTGCCACTTTGTTAGAAATCCCGATCTTGTACTACCCATAATCGGCCAATTTATTAGAAACAACACCCTTGTACTTCCAAACTGACCTCTTAATTAGAAACACCTATGTTGTCCTTCTACTCACTGGCCTCTTTATCAGAAACACTTACCTTGTATTTCCACTCACTGGCCACTTTATTTGAAACACCTACCTTGTATTTCCACACACTGATAACCTTAGAAACACCCACCTTGTGCTTCCACTCACTGACCACTTTATTAGAAACAGCTACGTTGTACTTCCACTCACTGCTCACTTTATAAGTAACACCTTCCCTGTGCTTCCACTTACTGGCCACTTCATTAGAAACACCTACCTTGTATTTCCACTCACTGGTCATTTCGTGAGCTCCACAGTATATCACCCCATTCGTCACTGGTCATTTTCTGTGAATATAAGTGTATTTAAATGGTATGGCAAAACAGTATAGCCAAAAAAATAATAAAAAAGTAGTAATGTTAGGTTAGCTTGACTGATGTTTCGCATCAAACTCTGAGGTGTAGTAGATTTGCAGGGGAACATTTAAGGGGTTTCTTTACTACTAAAATGTGTGATATAAGTGTTCTGTGGTGGCTGTTTGTGCAGGGCTATCTGTCATATATCCGAGGTTTACCCATTAACGACTCGCCCGAAATCTTTGGCCTGCACGACAACGCCAACATCAGCTTCGCCCAGAATGAAACATTTGCTCTGCTGGGAGCCGTTCTCCAGCTGCAGCCCAGAGCAGCATCCAGCGGGGGAAAGGCCAGGGAGGAGGTACTGAACAAGCTGGGGGTCATGCACTGGGTCATATTTAAAATGCCTGGCTTTGGACAGTATACAGTTCAAGTCAAAAGTCAGGACACACCTGACTGAATGTATGTTTTGCTTTATCTTAAAGACATTTTGGTCTGAAGGCTTTAAACGCTTGAGATTTGTTTCTAATACAAATATTCAAGTGAAGTCGATGCCTATGTGTGAATTTATTTCCAAAACATAAAAATCAAGAGAATGCCAAAGCTGCATCAATGCAAAGGGGGGCTACTTTGAAGAATCTTTGATTAGAATTCAAATTTTGATTCGTTTAACACTTTTTTGGGTCATTTCATACATAAAAGTCTTTATGTAAAAGTCTCTATATCTATGAATATAAATATCCAGCTTTTGCTTGGGATTTTATGTGAATGTGATTTTAATAGGCCCATGTCATGGAAAATAGTATTTTCTTGACTTTTCTGAAATAAAAGAGTTTGATTTAGTCTGTAAACATTGTGAAAGTTTCAAAATGTACATTCACCCAGACCACACAGTCCATATGTGCAAACTATGCTGCTAAAACAAGCAATTTCTAATTCACTGTTTTTGTGATGTCACTAAAACCAGTGCATTGGCATATATTCTTCAGTTGGCAGTTTAGCCCTACCCATTTATACTGAATGAAAAGCTTGGACTGCTTTTTGAATGAGGCGTAATACAGGGCAGCCAATCAGAACAGCTGTCATTTATATATCAGTCTTAAAGGCACAGTAACGAAAACAACCTGTTTGATTACAAAGAATAAAGAGAGGTTGAAAAATGGTCATGTAAAAATAAACTTTGACTGTTTTGTACCTAATCCCACACAAACGCCCTGAGTAACCGTCTGTGGGAAGAAAGTAAAGTACAAGAAAAATGCCCTTAAAGGGATCACTTGTGGGTTTGTTTTTGTTTTTTTTATGTAGGTCTTTGTTTATTCGTGAAACAAATCAGGTCTTAAAACAAATAGGCTTCCTTTAATTACCCAACCTTAATTAAAGTTGTAATTTTGGAGTGATCTTCAGTTAGAAAGTTGCTCCACAAAATCTGAGTGACGAAGTAAGGAAAGAAAAAAGTGTGAAGTTGCTTCATCTGCTCTCCCTGCAGATAGTGGAGGAGATTGTGGCAGGAATTGTGGAGAAAATTCCCAACCCCATCAACGTGCAGGAAGTCACTACCAAATATCCAGTGATGTATGAAGAGTCTATGAACACTGTCCTGATTCAAGAGGTTATCAGGTGTGTGCACACATGTTCACTATATAAAAGTTAACACTCGTGTTTTTAAATTAAATTTCAATTACTCACTGACCAGTGTAGCCCCTCAGATTAAAGCCCACTGACATATAAACAGATCCATACTGCACAACCAGAACTACTGACCAATACAGCCCCTCAGATTAAAGCTTACTGACACATAAACAGCTCCTTACTGCACAACCGGAACTGCTGACCAGTGCAGTCCCTCAGATTAAAGCCTACTGACATATAAACAGCTCCTTATTGAGATTAAAAAACACTGTTTGCCATAATCCCTCTCTCCCTCTCTCTCTCTCTCTCTCTCTCTCTCTCTCTTTGTCTCTCTTTTTTCTGTCAGGTATAATAAGTTGTTAGCAGTGATCTCTCAGAGTCTCAGTGATCTAGTGAAGGCTCTGAAAGGTTTGGTGGTGATGTCATCAGAGCTGGAGCTGATGGCCAACAGCCTGTTCATCAACGCCGTTCCAGAAATGTGGAAGGCCAAGGCAAGAATCTGTCCTCCTCACCCTTTATCAGCCTCTCTCTCTCTCTGTCTGTCTCTCTCTCGCTTAATCCTTCTTGTTAGATAGCTTGAAAGGCTGGAACATTTATTGAATGTGTGAAATTCTTCTTGTTAAGAATTCCTAAAACATGTAGTGTGTGGGAATGGGAGTAAATGAACAATATTTTATTAACCCTTAGATGTCTATTTAGAGTTACTAATGTTGTTTTGCAACACTATTTACTCTTCAATTACATAATTAATTCTCCCGAGCAGCACAACTGTCCAAGCGTTGACCCTGAGCCCAAAATGCGCTATGGATTGAGTTTAGAATCAGCAGTTTCAGTAGAAGTTCATTGCAAGTTTTGATTGAGCTACAAGTGAGAAATCATCACTATAAAATTAAAACCAAAAATGTACACTGTGTAAACATTATGGCACATTTTATGTTGTATTTTTTTTTCCAATATGTTATGAAAATGTGCACTAAAATTAGCCGAAAAAGGTGCCTGTAGAGTATGTATTAACCTATTTTCTCCCAGAAAATCAACAAAACGTCATTTGACCAGGGGTGTTCAAACTTGCATACAACTATATATATGTATTTATGTGTGTGTATATATATATATATATATATATATATATATATATATATATATATAGTAACGAAGGAGGCTTTGAGGCAGGATGCAAGTGCGAGTTGCTTTTAATTAAAGGAGGTTCAAAGTCCAAAAACACAGAGCCAGTGGTGAGTGGAACAGATAAATCCATGACAAAACAAAGTAAACCAACACTACACAAGAGACCACAGCAGGGTATATAGACACAATGCAAGACACTGGGACTGAGCAAACACAGGGGTATAAATACCAACAGAAAACGAGAAACACCTGAGACCAATAAGAGGCCGGGGCAGGGAGACAAAGAACAGGTGAAGACAGGGCAGGACAAGGGAGGAGCCAACATAACAACAAAAGCACATGTCAAAAGAAAACAAAATCACATGGCAGATAAACAAAAACACAGTACTAGGAAACCAAGAAAAAGGCAAAAACACAGAAAGACCAGGCGAAAGAGTGAACAGATGTTACATATATATATGAACATATGTGTGTGTGTGTCTTTTTTTTTTAATTTCATTTAAATTTATTTCAGTTTTATTTTACTGTTTGCTTTTCATTCTTTCATTAAATGATGATGCACCTATAACCCTGACCTTTCTGCACAAAGATTATTCTTTACCCGGCAGGCGTACCCGTCTCTGAAGCCGCTGGCGTCCTGGGTGTCGGACCTGGTGCAGCGGATCGGTTTCCTGAAGGGCTGGATCTCCAATGGGATTCCTGCTGTGTTCTGGATCAGCGGATTCTTCTTCCCGCAGGCCTTCCTGACTGGCACGCTGCAAAACTTTGCCCGCCGCTCCGTCCTCTCCATCGACACCATCAGCTTTGGCTTTAAGGTCTAGTAGCAACCCTTTAATCACTTCAAACCTGAAGAGTCTATGGGTTTGTATGTGGGTCCATACTTCTCCCCACTTCTCCCCACTTCTCCCCACTCTCCCCACAGTACACCTTTAGTTCATAGTAGTCATTACAAAAAGCTTAGGGATCTAAGGTTCTGAAGTCAATAACACCATCATATAGTGAGTTTAAAAAGTCACTTAGAGGAATAGTTAAATTAAAATGCTGCAAATTTGTTCAGCCAAGACATGTTTGATATCTGACCTGTGCTTCTTTAGTTTACAACGGGAGATGCTAGGCCACCGTTGCTAACAAACGCTGGACGTACACTACATGACTTTTAAAGCTTAACAGATTTCTAAAAATGAGAGCATCACAAACTTCACATCAGTTTGTAACAGAATTTCTTGTCTTTTTTTCATGATTGCGCTCACACTGGACGACAAGGCAAAGGGAGAGTATAACACATCTAATGAGTTTGGGCTACGAATAACAACTCAAACTCCCAGATCTCCTCAGAGAACACAAGACACAGACAGAGCTGCACTTACTGGACCTGTTTGTGCTTTTATGCACAGGATTAAATCAGGTCAATTTGATTTTTCACCAAACTGTTCTTTTCACAAGGGTGGCACGTGTCGCCTCACAGCAAGAGGGTCCTGGGTTTGATTCCCCAGTCGGGTAACCAGGGTCCTTTCTTTGTGGGTTTGCATGTTCTCCCTGTGTCTGCGTGGGTTTCCTCCCACAGTCTAAAGACATGCAGTGTTGGAGATATCAAATTGCCCCTAGGTGAGCGTGTGAATGTCTATGTTTGTGTGTCTCTGCCCTGTGATGGACTGGCGACCTGCCAAGGGTGTTTTCTGCCCAACAAGCACTGGGATAGGCTCCAGCACCCCCTTCTACCAGCTTAGAAGATGAATGAAGTAATGTTTCTTTCACTGTTCCATTTAGAACATGACACTGTAGTTCTAGAGCTACACATTGCAGAAATTCAACATTGTCTCGTAATTTTAAATGTGCATACGCCAACTTTAAAAGTGAAAAGTACTCACGATGTTAATGGCCAGTTTAGCAGCCATCACTTCATATAAAATCTAACAAAATGACCATAATTTCTACAAATCCCACAAGACATTTATCATATTGTTATATTAATTTGAATTTGGGTTACCTGGAGTTAGTACTTACTGAGTTATTCATAGTAGTTATTGGTTAATAAACCTTAAAGTGGGAGATTATAACACATCTTCCTTCTATACAGTGAAATGTAGTATCAGGGAGGGTCTCTGAGCTAGCTGAGCATTTCACTCCATGGTAGGTGGGGACGGTGAGAGGAATAGGCTCTTGTTATCCAGGATATCGGACCAGAGAACATAATTCTCACATCACAAGACTGAACTGTTTGTAACAAAATCTTAAATTGTTCCTTTAAAGTTTCCATTTCTCTCAAGGAAACATTGTTACTACCCACATGAAGGAAAAGAACATCCTCTGCATGTTTTTTTTTTAAGTAAAGTAGGACTCTGAGAGTTAAAATCATGGACCTGTGCTCTAGGAAAGCACTCTACAACATTATCAACCTTAATATCCATAGTGATAATGTCACCCACAACCAAAGCTAGTAGTGGAGGCTCAACACTGCCAATGATAACATCCAGCTAATCAAGCACAGCAGATGGTTTGCAGTCATTGAAATTTGGTTCAGGCAATAGAGGAGATTCCTCTGTTCCTTTAACTGTTCCATTTAGAATATAACAGTGCTGTTCTAGCTATAATTCTAGAGCTACACATTTCTCTGCATTGCGAATTTGAAATGTGCGTAAGCCTACCTGAAAAGTGAAAAGTACGAAATGGTTAGTGGTTGGTTTAGCAGCCATCACTTCATATGAAATCTAATAAAATCTCTTTTGCTTGTTTAAATTCCCACATATTCCTCGTGACATCTAATATATAATATAACATATTACTACAGACCTGGTACACCTGGAGTTCCATCCTCATTCCACTTGTTTCAGTTTGCCTGTAGTAGAATATAAATATTTGACTGTTATTTTTAACAGCATAATGATGCCTTAAACCTATCCATGCTCCGCCCACAAACACATACACTATAACTGTTGCAAGGTTGGACAACCTTTAAAGCATTGGTCAAAATTCCATTAAGTTCAATGAGAAATAATAGCACACAACTCAGTTTTTTGTGAAAATGTTTAAATTATTCACATTGAATCTCCATAGTGTTTGTTTAGAGCTGCTAGATAATGTTTCCAAATTAAACTATTATGCAACTAATTTGCATAACAGAAACCCCCCTAATCTACCCTAACAGAGACCTTTCACACACGTACAAAACGAGCATCATTTGAAGTTAATAATGCACTCTAACTTTAAATGTTTTGATGAAATCTGAATACATTTGTGCTACAGTTTCTTATGGGGTTAAATGGGATTCTTGCCTGTTTTTGTAAAGCTTGTCCAACCTAGCAACAGTTGCTATGAAAGAAAGCATTTGTGGGCAGAGAATGGATAGGTTTACCATGGTTATATACATATTATGACCATAAAACAAATCACAGAGAGAATTTGTAAGTGTAGAATTAAAAGTGGAAGTATTGATTATGGTTATTGACGTCAGCCAAATGTGGTTATGGTCTTAAATATTTTTGTGTGCCATATATCCATGTCATGTTCTCAAAGTGAGTTTATGACTGTGAGATCAGTTTTTAACCCTTTAAATTCCAAACACCGCTTAATAGTAGTTAGTGAGTTATTCGTAGTAGTTGTTGTAATAAACCTTAAAGTCAACATGAATGAGAAATCAGATCACATTTTCCTTCTGTACTGTGACGTATTTCTGAGTGAAATGTGGTATCAGGGAGGGCCTCTGAGCTAGCTGAGCATTTTCGCTCCATGATAGGTGGGAGTGGTGGGAGGTATAGGCTCTTTTATCAGTGGTATCAGACCAGAGAACGTAATTCCCTTATCAAAAGTCTGAAGTGTTCATAATGAAATCTTAAAGTGTTCTTTAAAATTTCCATTTCTCTCAAAGGAAAGATCATTAAGGACCCCCATGGACAATAAGAGTATCTGCATGTTTTTTTTTTGAAGTAAAGTAGGAATCTAAGAGTTAATTTCATGTACCTGTGAACCAGTAAAGCACTCTACAACAACATTATCAGCTTAATATCCCTGGCGATAGAGTCACCCACAACCAAAGCCTACTACTCCAGCTCATTAAGCACATGAGATGGTTCACAATCACTGAAATTAGGTTCGGGCAACAGAGGAGAAAGGTACTGTGTTTCTTTCTCTGGAATATGAAGGCATTGCTACAGTTTAGGGAACAGTTGCCATTACTGGCATGGTTCAGTCCACTCGTGGAACCTGGAACAGGCATAACAGAGACCCAGGTTGCTCAAATGAATCAACTGAATGTGGGTGCATATAAAGAACAAGATCTACTAAGAGAAACATTCACAAGCAGCACACTGAAGGTACATTATATGGCCAGATGTATGTGGACACCCCTCTTAATTACTGAGTTCAGGTGGTTCAGCCACACCCATTGCTGACAGATGCACAATATCAAGCACATAGCCATACAATCTTCATAGACAAACACTGGCAGTGGAATGGGTCGTACTGAAGAACTTAGTGACTTTAAACATGGCATCGTCATAGGATGCCACCTTTGCCCCACGTTGGTTTGTGAAATTTCTGCCCTGCTAGATCTGCTCTGGTCATCTGCAAGTGTTATTATTGTGAAATGGAAGCATCTCGGAGCGACAACAAAGCAGTAGACCACAAAAGCCCGGGAATGTGGAGTGCTGATGCCGGTAGCATATAAAATTGTCTGTCCTCCGTTGCATCACTACAGAGTTCCAAACTGCATCTGGAATCAACATCAGCACAAGAACTGTGTGTCCAGAGCTTCATGAAATGGGTTTCCACGGCCGAGCTGCTGCACACAAGCCTAAGCTCACTATGAGCAGTGCCAAGCGTCGGTTGGAGGGGTGTAAAGCTGCCGCCACTGCACTGTTGAGCAGTGGAAACTTTCTCTAGAGTGATGATTCATGCTTCACCAACTAGCAGTCTGATGGACGAATTCGGGTTTTGTGGAGAACGCTGCCTTCTGGAATGAATAGCGCCAGCACTGAAGCTTGGTGGAGGAGGGATAATGGTCTGGGCTATTTTTCAGTGACCCTTAGTTCCAGTGAAGGGTGATGTTAATGCTACAGCAGACATTTTGGACAATTATATGCTTCCAAATTTGTGGCAACAGTTTGGGGAAAACCCTTTCCTGTTCCAGCATGACTGAGCTCCTGTGCACAAAGTGAGCTCCATAAAGACATGGTTTGACAAGTTTGGTGTGGAGGAACTCCAGTGGCCTGCACAGAGCTCTGACCTCAACTGCACTGGGCACCATTGGGATGACTTGTAACGCTGAGTGCAATCCAGGTCTTTTTGTGTCTGACCTCACAAATGCTCTTTTGACTGAATGGGCACAAATTCCCGCAGACAGACTCCAAAATCTTGTAGAAAGCCTTGTCAGAGGAGGCAGTTATAAGTGTAAAGGGGGGGCAACTTCATATTAATGCCTATGGTTTTGGAATGGAATGTCCAGCAAGCTCGTATAGGTGTGATGATCCGTTGTACACATACTTTTGGCCATATAGTGTAGGTTCCAGCCTCAGCCTTTGCGGTAAATAATAAAAAAAAAAGTATCTCTGGTCACTATCAACCTATCCAGGGGGTTAACTAATTCCTAGCTTCTCTGAAGGTTTGCCAGGCCCGAGGCAGCTTTAGATGATAAGATGAATCGTGCTTAATAAGACCAGGAACGTGAACTAACAAGGTAAAAAAGATGAATTTTGATTTCAGGCCGACTTTAAGATTAATAACTGAATAATAAGCCAAATGTTTAAGTGCCCATCTCCAATGACTCCTCCAGGTGATGAAGGAGCCGGCAGCGGAGTTAAAGGAGCGGCCCGAGTCAGGTTGCTTCATCCACGGTCTGTTCCTGGAGGGGGCACGCTGGGACACACATGCCGGCCTGCTGACCGAGTCACGGCCCAAAGAGCTCTACACCGAGATGGCTGTCATCTGGATGGTCCCTGTGCCCAACCGCAAACCTCCGCAATCAGGGGTCTACGTCTGCCCCATATACAAAACCCTCACGCGTGCTGGTGAGCTGCTGTGTGTGTGTGTGTGTGTGTGTTTGTGTGTGTTTGTGTGTTTATGTAGGTAAGAGCAGAGCAGTGTACAGTTTCTGAGCACTATAGGCTTTCATTATGAAACCTGGCACTGTTTTCTTCTGCCTGAGTCGTATTACTGTGAGCTACACTGCAAGTTCTCAATGATTCATGACTCTCTTCGTTTTGGCATTTCATCGCTGACGCCCTGTGTTTTTTTTTTCTTTCTCGTTCGCTCTCTCCATCAATTTCTCTTGTCTTCCTCCTTTTTTACCTTTCTTTCGTTATTTTCTCTCTCTCCCTCCCTCCCTTTCTTCCTATCGTTCTTTCTCTTTTAATGGTTTTGGTTCTCTCTCCCTGTACTCTCGCTCTGCCTCCCTTTTTTCCTTTCACTCCGTCTCATTTCCTCCCTCTTTTCTTTTTTCTTCTTTTATTTTTTCTTTCTGTTTCTCTTCCTCTTTGTCTCTCCTCCTCTCTTTCTCTGTCTCTCTCCCTTTCTCTTCCTCTATTTTCTCTTTCTCCCTTTCTCTGCCTTCTTTTTCTGTCGCGCTTCGTTTCTCTCGCTCTTTTCTTCTCTCCCTTTCTCTCGCTCTCTTTTCTCTCTCTCCCTGTCTCTACCTCTTTTATCTGTCGCCCATCTTTTCTCTCCCTCTCTTTTCTTTTCTCCCTTGCTTTCTCTCTTTCCCTCCTTTATTCTCTCGTTTTCTCTCGCTCTCTTTCTCTTCGTCTTTTTCGCTCTCCCTTCCTTTCTCTCACTCTCTTTTCTCTCTCTCCCTTTCTTTGCCTCTTTTATCTGTTGCCCATCTTTTCTCTCATTCTCTTTTCTTCTCTCCCTTCCTTTCTCTCTTGCCCTCCTTCATTCTCTCGTTTTCTCTCGCTCTCTCTTTCTCTTCGACTTTTTCTCTCTCCCTTCCTTTCTCTTCCTCTCTTATCTTTCTCCCTGTTGTTTCTATCGCTCTTCTTTTCTTTCTTTCCCTCCTTTCTTCTCTTTTTCTCTCTCTCTTCTCTTCATCTTTTTCTCTCTCCCTGCTTTTCTTTCCCTTTCTTCTCACCTTCCCTTTTTACTCTCTCTCTCCGTTTGTCTCCATCTTTTTCTCTCTCCCTCCTTTTTTCTTCATACTTTTCTTTCCATTTATTTTTTCTCTTTCCCTCATTTTCTCTTCTTCCCTCTGCCCCTTATCTCCATCTTTCTTTCTTTCTTTTTTTCTCACTCTTCCTTTCGCTCCCTCCTTTTTCTCCCCTTTTCTCCCTCTGTTTTTTCTCTCCCTTCCTTTTTTTCCCATTTTCTCTCTCTCTCTCTCTCTCTCTCTCTCTCTGTTACAGGAACTCTGTCCACCACCGGTCACTCCACCAACTATGTGATTGCAGTGGAGCTGCCAACTGACCAAAGCCAGCGGCACTGGATCAAGCAAGGGGTGGCGCTAATATGCGCACTGGATTACTGAACACTGTCATTCTCTCACAGACCCACATTTACAGAAGTGCAGATGGGCAGGAAGTGCTTTAAACCACTCCACCATTTAAAGCTCTCGCTGATTAAACATGTCAAACTAAGTGTTTTTTTATTGTCAACACATTTTCTCACACTTACAAGCTCTCAATCTGAACCTCTGTCTGGATTATCCTGCCTGTGTCAGGTCACTGTAACAGTAAAGCGTCCTGCTCTGTCCTCCTGTGTGGTCTGTCAAAGAAGAAACATCCTTCATTGTCATTGTGTGGAGGTGGTGGTGAAAGTATGATCTAGTAGTGGAGCATCAAGGCCTTGGCAATGTAGCATGAGCTTCAAGTTGCCTCATCTATAGATAATCCAGTGACCTGAATGACTGAGAACATTCATAGACAATAATACACATTCATAAATATTTATCATAGATGACCATTTAATTATAAGTTGTTGTAATTAAAGGTAAAAAGGCATGACAGTGCAGGTCAGCGCTCGGTCATCGCTTTGTGTGCGCTGTTGCTTTAAGAGACTGAAGTCTATGTGGAAAGTAAGGGGAGTGACGCAAGGGCGCGTGGTTTTTTACCCCCACACCCGTATTGCGACAAAGTCCCGCCCCCTGCACTGGGATTGGTTAGAAGTGTCCCGTGTCCTGCTCTGGGATTGGCTAGAAGTCCATACTCACAAGCAATCCGCCTTTCTAGAACATTTGATAATTTACACTTTTTAAAAGTTTGGAATAATTTGTCATATTAATATTTTTGTTATTTAAATACAATAATATATAATTTTTTTGGATGTTTTATTCAATATTTTAAGAATTCTCTAAAGAGCAAGTAAATAAATGATAACACACTGTGATTATCTATTTATAGTCATTTTTGCCGGTTTCTCTACCTGGAAATATAATGAATTTATTTTGTTTTAACTTTATTCTCTATATTATACAGATTTCACAGATCTGTTCATCATTCTGGACACGTTTAAGACTTCTTTATTTTTCACTTGCAGCTTTGTAGAGTCCTACTAATCAAATGCAGCCTGTGCTAGAATCATTTGATGCACTTGTCTGCAACCAAATTGTTTTTATATTTTTGAAAACAGTGGTTTCAAACTTTAGAACAGTAGTTTATACATCATACTAGCACACATGTGTCAGACTCCAGTCCTCACGGGCCAACACACAGCAGACTTCAGCACACTGCCTCATTAAACACACCTGATTCAGCTCTTTGGCTTATTATCAAGGCCTTCATGAACTGAATTCAGAGTGTTAGATGAGGGTAAATGTTAACGTTAAAGGCCCGGAAAGTCCCCAGTTTAACATGCCTGCACTAGAACAAGGTACTGTTTGTGAGCAGAAAGAGTGGAGTAGCCTAAAGCCACAATCTAGTAAAATTATTGTTCTTTTAGTGAAATAATGACTCAAATAAATGTGCTTTTCCAGAAGACGACTTGTGTAGAAGTACAAAAGTAGCAGATCAAAAAACGACTAAAAGGGGAATTCCACCCATTTTTCAAAAATGGTGTATAAATAGGTGATTAAGATGTAAAACAAAATCGTTCAGGATGCTTCACTGTGCAGAAACTTACAGAGTCAGAATTGTTCACAGTGGTGGTGATGGGAACCAGACGTCCACAGTGTTCAGTGTCTCTAAAAGCTACATTACAGAACGTAAATGAAATGGTTATAAATACTCTGCCTGATGTCTGTTTTATGATAGTTTTGCAGTAAGCTTTTGGTTTTGAAGGGTGTTGTAAAATAAGACAAAACTTATTTTTTTCAGATTTACTGCTATTTACCCCTTATAAACAATACATAGAAATACTCAGTAGACAACTGCAAGTTCACTGGTTGCTTTGGATAATAAATACAATGGCTATAATGTTATAATAGGTGGTGAGTGTCTCTACAATAAACCGTTTCATATCAAATCACTCTGAATGATGTCTCAAAACTGAGTTATTCAGACATTTCAACAAATCGATGGAATTCCACTTGAAATACTGAGTTCCCTTAAGAACTGCGGTGGTACAACCAGCATGTATACGAAGACCTTACGTTTTATTCTTCTCTAAAATATAACAGTAAAAAGTAGGTTACTTTTCTTGCAAACATACTTGAATAATATGGAGAGGAATTCGTGCCAAATTGAAAATCAATCACCACAATGGAAAAATATGAAACGCAATGCACATGACATCACCTTTCTAGAATAAGTGCCCAAAGGAAAAGCAAAACCCTACAATGTTGTTACGCCGCTTGACCTCTTTTTTGTACTTTAAACATATTTGCCTCATTGAAATGCAACCAAAACAGCAAAATGCAATGTGCACACATGAGATTGCATTTAAAGAGTAACATGCATAAAACAGGCCAAAATGAAAAGTAAAAGATCCATTACACTGATTTACCCCCTTAAATGGCCAAAGCCCACCAAAGTTTTATCACACACGTCTATAACCTAAAAAGAGCTCAGCCAGTTTGCACTGAAGTCCCTGTAGATACTGAATAATAAGCCTTAGTATATAATAAGCCTGAGATTTTAAGAGGTTAAAATACTGCACAGTGGAAATCAATAGCTTTGTCTTCATTATATTTAAAGAATTATGTTTAATTCTGACACCAATGCAGCATTTCATTTTTTTAAATGTAAAAACCTCCAGTACTGTTTTTCAGTACACACTTAAAAATGATGGTTCTTCAAAGGTTCTTTAGTAAAGTAAATGGTTCTATATAGAACCATGAACTCTCAAAGAACCCTTTGCAAGATTTAAGGGTTCTTTGCACTGTCAAGTGGTTCTTCAGATTGATGGAGAATGTGCTGTATACGAAAAGGATTCTATATAGCACCAAAAATTATGTCAAGCTTAACATCGTAACGCTGCGAGAACCCTGTTTGGTGCTATATGGAACCCTTTTCCAAAAGGTTCAATATAGAACTATATACAGCACATTCTCCATCAATCTGAAGAACCCTTTCGCAATGCATTCTTTAAATGTTCATGGTTCTATATGGAACCATTTTCTTTACTAAAGAACCATCGGTTTAAGAGTGTAAAGAGGTCAAGCAAACTGAAAACAGTGTAACCGAATTTCATTCACTTCATTTTCACACATTCTGCATGTCACTCCCTCTGCTCGTAAGTTGTCCATTAACTACTAGCCAGGGAAACGTCTGGCCAATCATAGCGCAGGAGGCGGGGCTTTCCGGAATACGGGTGGGGAAAAAACTCGTAGCGGTGATCGCATGGTAAAGGCAGACCGGGGCAGGACGGGGGCAAAAGGATGAGTGTGACGGGAACAGCATGCAGCTCTCGGTGACTTTTCCCATAGGAATACACTGCGGCTGAAAGAGGAGGGTGGTCCTTCAGATTCTGTTCAAAACACGCTGTTTTAGTGACTTTCTGAACTGGACACACGTTTAAGTCCTCCAACCTGCGGCTACGCGGACTCGGACTGAAAGTTCCGTTTTGCGTAACTTTGTAGGTTTCCGTGGCTGATTTTGGGAGACACTGCGTTCGTCTGATTCACTCCGTGTCCCTTTCTGTTGCTTTACTGTGGAGAAGCGCTGACTGACCGAGCTGGACGAACATGCTCCAGAATGGAAAGGCCAAGGAGGAGAAGCCCGAGACGGACGAGGCGAAGCCAGAAGCTCCAAACGACACGACGAGTGAGAGCGAAGCGGCCAAACCGGGCACGGACAGCGGCCCCACTCACTTCCCCATGCCGGCGCCCGTGCCGGGCTACCCCAAACTGGACATCAAGCGCCACGCCGTGACGGACGACTACAAGGTGTCCAGCCAGGTGCTGGGATTGGGCATCAACGGCAAAGTGCTGGAGTGCTTCAACAAGAAAACGGGAGAGAAGTGCGCGCTGAAGGTGAACTGACCTCCACAGAGTTACTCACTTCACTTCTACTCTTCTGCGAGGGTTCTTTAGTAAAGGCAATGGTTCTATTTAGAGCCATGAGTTCCATATAGAACCATTTGATGTTATGCATGGTGAAATGGTTCTTCAGACTGATGGAGAACCTGTTGTATTTGGCTCTGTATGGCACCAAAAAGGTACTTCTGTTGTTACAGGTTTGACACCGTAACAGTAGAAGAACCCATTCTGGTGCTGTATAGAACCATTTGCAAAAAGCTTCTATATAGAACCATATACAGCACTTTCTATGTCAGTCTGAGGAACCATTTCACCATGCAAAGAACCATTTAAGCATGAAATGGTTCTAGAACTCATGGTTCTAGATAGAACCATTGCTTTTACTAAAGAACCGTCTTTTTAAGGGTGTATCGTGCTAGTGTTGGGGACGCATCATGGTCTCAGGGGGCTCCTGGGCACAAGTGTGAACACACACACACACACACACAACACACACACACTCTGACAACGACACCAAGAACATAACAACAAAGCTAGAGCTGAAAAACAACTTCAATAAACAGCTCCTGCTCATTTGCTTGTTTATGTGCAGTTTGAATGGGGCTGGACAAAATGTAAACAAGACCATCAACTCTCAATGTGCAATTAGCCTTTTACTTTTATTTTCAGTCTTGGGGATTTTTTTTTGAGTTTATATTATTTTAACCTCTTATCCTCCATCTGAATTTACAAGACCAAATCGTAAGGCAAATTATTCCGTAACTGCAGGAAATAAATGTAAATTTTTATTTTATTTATTCTTTTTTTTTGTAATAGCTACCCTAAAATAACAGAACATGTGTTTTATGATCACACATATTGCTATATGCTTACAATTTACTGCTGAAAGCCAAAAATCTTAGACGCTCTTTGTATTATTTTATTAAAATAATTTTCACAGAGCAGATCACTGAAGAGACGCCGTCTGTTTATAGTTTATAGCCCAGATTTGTGGAAAAATGGGTCGACTTTCAGTAGACAAAAAAATTGTGAGTTCAGCTTCTTTTATTATAAGGGTTTAAAATTACATCACCCATCTATTTGACTGGAAAGAAGACAGTTACAGCCTCATATTACCCCCACCTTCTGAATGTAGCTTGTGAAATATGAAAGTTATGGAGAATATGATGAAGTGCGTTTTGGAACCACAGGAGTTGAAGAGGTTACAAATGGTGGGAGGGTCTGAGCTGAGGGGCACTTTAGTCACCACCTATTCATGTCTTTTCATTCATCTAGTTGTTGCATTTGTCGGTTTTTGACCCATCTCAGGACTTGTTGTGTGAGGCCACCTGAGGCCCCTGGGCACTGGCCCCACTGGTCCAGTCACTAATCCATCCATGGATGGAAATTGCTCCTGCTGTTAGACGTGACTTTTCAAAGAGGTCTTAATTTCTTACACTTATACAGTATAAATAAAAACATTAACATCATCATCAAACTCTTGAGAAGCTTCATGCCACATTTCTGTCATGTTCTCATTGAATATAGATAGATTACAGAGCCCTGCTGGTGACATCCCTTCTTAATAAAAATAATGCATGGCCCCAACTTACTATACATGGGAAGGATCCTAAAGTGTGACCATGACACGTTGTTGTCATTGTTAAGTCATGGCAACAAGATAATTAAGTCATTCTCATGTTGTAGTAACTCATGGCCAGGCGTTGGGATCATGTTCCCCCACACTTTATTTTTATTAAGAAGGGATGACACCAGTGGAGCTCTGTGTTAGATAGACAGGTAGGTAGTGAGATAGACAGGGCTAATAATACCTAACCAAAGTTAGATTCCTGCCAGAAAATAAAAGCAAGACAAAGCCTGTCGCTTGCTGCCATCAGGTTGTTTACATTGCCATAGCTAATTTCATGCAATTTGAATTATAGAGTAAGGATTTTCTCCCAAGTCTGACTTTGATCAATGATCATCGAGTAGGGCTGAACAATTTAGGGAAAATATCTAATTGCAATTTTTCTGACCACTATTGCAACTGCACTATAAATTGCGATTATTATCTATAAAGTTTAAGGTTCAGGCCTGTTTTTTTGGCCAAGAGGTTCAAAATATTCGCTTTTTTTTGGCTTGAGGCTTGATCCCTGAATGTAGTGATGTCACAACACATGGAGGTTTGGTTGGACCTGATTGGTCTAATTCATCTACAGGCTGTTCACAAGCTCTGTGTTATGATGAGGTTAAATTTCCCCATTTAAAACTTAAGACAATGTTTTTGATAATGTAGACTATAGTTTCAAAAAAATTGCAGCTCTTGCGATTTGAAAATTTCACTCTCTTAAATTGCAGTTTTTGATATAAAAACGATTAATCTTTCATCTGTCAGAGTTATTTGAAGATTTGCAGTCAAGTTGACACCCTTTCTGAAAGAACTGAAGTGTCCGCACTACAGTTTAATGGAAAAGTAAAGCTAAATTCATGAATAAACATCACCCTCTAATTACCCCAACTGCAAAAGCTGCGTTTTGCCCCTCCACACGAAAACACTGAAAATCTCCCGACGTGGGAGCATTTTCAAGTACTTAGCGGATACTTGTGGATGGGTCGTTAGAACCTGCAGTGGCCATGAGCTCTCAAGTCGTAGCATTGATCATTTCAGACAGGTCCCAACAGACCTGTGCTTGAATACATAGCGTGATGTCAATGTCCCAGAGGCAGGAACATCTTGTTGGTGTCTAGTAAAGTGTTCAGCCCTTGCGTTGCTATGGGCCAGCTGTTTCCTGTTTCGGCTATTTTGTTCCTACGTCTTCAACTAATCATGAGCGGATGAGTGGATTATTCTTAGGTGTACACAATCAGTTATTGCCTTCCTTAAAGACACACGGCATCTTCATCCCCAGCACTTACACAGGTGCCTGCTGTGGCGCTGCACTTGTGTTAGATTTCCTATGCCATCCTCCTTTGAGCAGCTGGAACAAGCAGAGTCCATCACTGAAGACTGGGTGATTATCTCAGCTGAACATGTTAACAGCTCTGTATTGAGGTGGAGTCTGGACGGCTTTGGTGTCACACTGGCAATCAATACATGAAGTTGGCTTCCTTCACCAATGAGCAGAAGACTCAGTGCTCCATGTTGTGCCCACTCCAGGCCTTCAGCCTCATACTCCATCTGGAGTATATTTATGTCCTGGCCAGGGCTGAAAGGTCTTTTGTTGGTGGACGTTACATTTGCATGTACTTCTGGACAGAGTCAGTGTGGCCTGCTGTCTAAGGTTAGCTCAGTTCAGTCCAGTCACATTCTTCGTGACTATTGGTGGGCTATTTGAGATCCACTGTGCTTTGCGTAGGCACTTGTGGTCAGGAGGAACGAACCAGTACCACAGTCTGTAGTGTTTGTAACCAGCCACATTCCTGACCGATGTTGTAAATGAGTCAAGCGTCTATTTCCATCATGCGTCCTCCGAAATGACATAATTATTCAGTGGATTTATACTATAAAAAACCCTCGTGTGTAGTTGCTCCGCTCTTCTGCCCGAGACACGAGAGGGAGTGTGCTTTCGTGGAAAACATAACAGCTTGGTCGTAGGCACAAGCCAAAGGAGAGACTGTAGATCTTCAGCTAGTTGCGATAACACACAACCTTGTGGTTCTATTGCTTTCATGTAACAGTTCTGCAAAAAGAGTAAAGAAGCCTGAAGAGTGTATCACATGTGCTTTGATAATAGCATTTTAGCAAAGTAGCCTTTTGCATGGTCCCCCTGGGCCAGATGTGATCTTGTACAACTTGAGGTAACTTGTTACACTTTTGGTGCTGGATTGCAGCGTAAGCAAGCTAACTTCAGTTACATCCATGGGCTAGCGATAGGTTATTGTTAATGTTGACGAGCGCACCATCGCTCACGACTGTGAGCTCTGACTAGGGTTGGTTTAGAAATTTCACAATAAGTTTAATGACACCCTAAGAAGTCCCGCCCACATCTAGCCAAAAATTTCTTACGGTTGTCACTAGACATTCTCATTATAAGATCACGTCTAACCCAGCGAGACTACCTTTTGTATCACAGATGAAATCAGAGAACTCGCAATATCAGGTTCAGCTCAGCTTTTTCAAGATTTGCCAGATGGCTAAACGCTACACACACCACAGAACGCGTTTGATTCCAACTTGCACTCTAACACTAGTCACTTGACTTTGCGTTCTCAGATGTCCTCTAAACAGGTGTCATCAGAGCCTGATTACTATCTAATAAGCAACATAAGCGGCTGCTTAGGGCCCTGCAGCCACCAGGGGGCCCCCCAAGAAACATTTATTCTGGTTGGAGAATGCTAAGATTTAAATAGCTTGAGGCCTCTGAGCAGAACATATTCTTGATTTTTTAAAAGGTGTAGATCTGGGGGAGTGCCTACACAGATTTCTATTAGGCCTGGTCATGATTTATTTCTCTCTCTCTCATTTGTTTGTAATATTTGTCTCAGTTTATTTTCTAAAATAAAAGTCTCTATGCATTTAAAATAGGTTTGGGGAGATTAAAAACTAGTTAAAACTTGTATGCATGACAATAATCTGGATGGTCCGAGGGTGGACCAGCAGTGGCAAACAGTCAGTGGGGTGCCGACCTTATCAAGCCAGCGGACCGATATATGCTCGCTATCAGGGTAAGCTAATGCTAACCAGTAAATCTCTCCTAGAAATCTCGTAGCAGCTTTAACGTTTAGCGATTGTTTCATAGGTGGATTGATATTTATTGAATAATAGCTTAATAATTATGCCTCCTTGGTAATACCATATACAGTGTAATATTTTGAATATGGGTTGAAAATGTGAAACCAGTGGTTTCACTGATACATAAAAATGTACAGCGTTTAGCTGCAGCGTAAAGGAAATCCTTTCTCGGTTCTCAGCAGTGATACAGTAATACTAAAAAGATGTGCTGTTATCACGAATAACAGCTTAGATAGAACCTTCTCAGCTAATCAGATTGTCTTAGTGGAACTAGCTGTAGAAG